ATGTATATATATATATATATGTATATATATATATGTATGTATATATATATATGTATATATATATATATATGTATATATATATATATATGTATATATATATATATATGTATATATATACATGTATATATATATACATGTATATATATACATGTATATATACATATATACATATATATGCACATATATACATACATATACATATATATACATACATATATATATATATATATATATATATATATATATATATATACTGACTTTTAAAAAGGAAATACTTAAAAGACTAAAAATCATTTTAAAAACAAAGAAATATAAAAATAAAAATAAAATAAAGAAGGGTTTCTCTCTTTTAAAAAGTGAACTTCTCATGTCTCACTGAAGAATCGAAGATTCTACATATTTCTTGCAAATATGATTAGGTTCAGGATTGATTGAAGGTTTCTCTCTCTCGCTCACTCTCTCTCTTCTGCTAGGACTAATGGTGCTCTCTCTCTCTCTCTCTCTCTCTCTCTCTTATGAAAGGACTGATGGTGTTGCAAGGTTTGACTTCCGCCACGAGCTTGATTGGCCGCATGCAACTATCAATGCGTGTTCTCTCTCTACCTTGTGATAGGACTGGTGTTCTGTCGCTCTTCTCTCTTCTGATAGGACTGGTGGCGTTGCAAGGGTGACTTCGGCCACGACCTTGTTTGGCAGCAGGCAACCATCAATGTGTGTTTCACTGGGAAAACTCATGTCACATTAGGGTTTGTCCACTTCTTGCACCTATAACCAGGAGCAGCAGACACGGCATTATCTGAAGCCACACGAATGAGAAGGCCAATAGTTGGCACCTAATCGTGCATAGTTTTGGATGAACAAAACCCCAACTTTTTTCTACAGTTTTTTCTTCCTCTTTTTCATCGTTCTCGTCGCGCATTAAAGCCCCCTGTCATCCATCATCAAGATGAGAAGAAACATAACCGGACATTATCTGTCTAGGTTTTCAAATCCGATGATGAGCAATTGGTGTTTCAAAACCTTATTAATTATAGAACACTACTCCTAAGTCAATATATCTATTCATGAAAGAGAAAAAGTTCAAAAACTCTGTCTCCAATCATTGCTCAGACGTAAGTATTTATCATTGCAAAGATCAGAAATTATATACATAGGACCGTCTCATAAAAGAGTTTCTGGAATAACTTATTCTTCGTGTGTTTCTGACTTGTCTCCCACCGGTGTTGTTGATGGGGAACAAACAGTGGGAGAAGACAACGCCTTGGATTGCGTGTGAGGATGACTACTGCTGCAGGTTGGTGTCGAGTAGGTTAAACAAGACGCCCATGTCAACCTCATTAAGCGCGGGATACAGTGTTTGCTAGCTGATGCACTGCACTGCACTGCACTGCACTCGCTAAAGACGACGACGATGACATTCATGTCTCGTGTCATTGTTCATAATATTAGTGTCAACAAGAAGAACAACATTCATACGATTACTAATAATTATTACACCAACACTGACTCTAACCTCTGAATTGTCTTTATTCATACGATTCTACCTTCAAAAGAAGAACAACTCCTTCCGATCCTCATCTTCCATCGTTTTAGCACTCACAAATCGAAGTTCTATACATGTTTTTGGGCTCACAGTGTTGAGTTCTTATACTTCGCCGCCTGAGAAAGGGTTTCATGAAGTCGGACGTCAATAGCGGCTTATCGCCAAGAAGATTAGACGGGACGCGTCTCCCTTTATCTCCAAAACCAAATATATAAGTGTAAATACTTGTATACACAATATATAAATACATACATCCATGTAAAATGCACAAATCGGCCTGATATCGATATGACGATTGTAATAAGAGTCACAGAAGAGGTTATATCGATCTCTTCAAACCTCAGTCATCTTTCATGCGCTAATTAACCATGCAGCTTTCGGTACATCATGGGGTGTGCATTCACTAAATTCCTAGAGCATGTGATTTCCATTGCTGACGAATCGAGTCCTTAGCAGCCCATATGGTAAATGCTTAGTTCCCAAGTGTTCACTGGAAGCAACTACACCGTGCCTTAATTTTCTACGAGCTCGTGCAGTATACAACGTAAACTGTGCGCTACATGCCGTGCTGCAGACAGCAGAAGAGGATGATGGCTGCACCAGAAAAAGGACGAGCAGGGTTTCTTGTTGTCAGGAAAATATATCAGCATCAAAATCCAAGAAATAACAAACGTTTTAATTTTCTTTTCTTGTTGTGTAAATTAATCTGTATGTATTTGAATCAAATGGTAAAATATTCTAATATAATAACATATAGATTTACATTCATTATGTAGAGAAAGTAATTTTCTCTACGTATTTGTCTTATTAATTATTTTTAAATTTATAATGAATTTTTCTTTATTTTTTTGGATTAGAATTTTTATTTCTTTATTTATTTATACCAATTGGTCCCACCACTTTGGCGCATGAGCGGGGCCTACACAACGCTTACTTAATTCACTGCGTATGGACAAGCCATCATCTCGGGCCTGAGGACGAGGAGGCGGAGAAAGCCACAGCGGCCACCATGGGACGAGCCCCATGCTGTGACAAGGCCAACGTGAAGAAAGGACCATGGTCTCCCGACGAGGACGCCTTGCTCAGGTCCTACGTCGAGAAGCACGGCACCGGCGGCAACTGGATCACCCTCCCCCAAAAGATCGGTACGGTCTTGTCTCGATACCTTTTGCGGTTCCACATCGAACTCCTCGCTCCTACTCTTGACTTTTGTTCTGTGCCGCGAAAGGTAGGCCTCAAACGCTGCGGCAAGAGCTGCCGCCTCCGGTGGCTGAACTACCTCCGACCCGACATAAAGCACGGAGGGTTCTCCGAAGAAGAGGATAACCTGATCTGCAGCCTCTACATCAGCATCGGTAGCAGGTCTTGACCGCGAGTCTTTTGATCTTTAGATCATCATATATAATTAGCGTCCTGATTATAGTTTTCTTGTGGAAGCGCAGGTGGTCGATCATTGCTGCACATTTGCCGGGACGGACCGACAACGATATCAAGAACTACTGGAACACGAAGCTGAAGAAGAAGCTTTTCGGCAAGCAGCGCACCGACCGTCGGCAGTGCCGAAGCATCGGTAGCGCAAAGCAAGAATCCGACAGATTCGACTACGGAGGCCTTGGCATCGTCATCGATGGTGTGGGCCAGAATGATTTCTGGACTTCGACAAGCATCAGAGAGCTGCACGGCGAGGTTGGAGAGAGGTCTTCTAGCGATGGAGTGAGCTACCAGAGTCCTCTTGTTGCTCCTTCATCGCCGCTCCCGCAGCCTCTCCGTGAGGACTCTGCTTCGTTGGCGTCCTCCTCGCTGCCGGGCGTTTCAACTGATCTCGACGAACTGTTCCAGTTCGATTTGGTCAAGCTCGAAGGATTGGATTTCTTCAATGGATTTGAAGGCATGAAGAACTCGAATGAGGTGAGCCCTTTGGTGTGCCCGAGTGTAGTCCAGGCTCACAATGAAGTGCTACAGTGGTAGCCATTGGAAGAACCAGTGTAACTAGGCGTGTGGTGATGGTTTATGTACCTTGTACGACTTCTGTAGATCTGAAGCATCTGTGGAGGTGTTGAACATTCTTGTAGGAACCCTAAATAAACTTACTCCGAGAGAGAGAGAGAGAGAGAGAGAGAGAGAGAGAGAGAGAGAGAGATCGTTGTTTTCTTTGTGATTTCCCAAACTTATTGGTTTGTCATTTATCCCCTCTTTGGATTCTGTTTTTTTGGATTGTGAGAAATGAATGCATGATGATTTGTTTACACTTTCTGCAACTCTCACACCAATAATTCTCTAATCATTTTTGTTCAGAGTATCAATTGCATTCCTCTCCTTCTCGATGCATGTTGTTGTCAGAACAAAACATGTTTCGTGTTTTAACCATGTATGGATGGAAGTTATATCATGTGATGTTGGGATTAGGATCAAATCCTATTAGATGAGGTGGGCAATTCATAGAAACATGGTGACAAGGCCTTGTCCTAAAGTTCTTTATTGCTCTGCTTCCAAGTCACCAAATTAGATTAGTATCTTTGGACTTTGGCATAACCAGTACATCACCACACTGACTTCCTTCTATTCATCAACATTGTACTTGCAATGTGGCCAATCATGCCAAAGAAGTTTCAAAACTGCAGGCTAAAATTTCGGCAACCAAACAACTAATGCATAGAATTTTCAGCTGTAGGCTTATCTATTTGAGAAAACAAAACAATCCCTTTGTCCAAATAATTTTCTTTTGCCATCACATAAACAGTCTGTGAGCTAAGAGGAGCTGCCAATGTGTATCAGTTGTACTTCAGCTTGAATTTATTAGCTATTTCCTGCTATAAAATGTGTTTCTTCCTCAGTACAAACTGTAACTCTGATGGCTCTACTGTAACTTTTGTTTATATCTAAACATTTTATGTCAACATACTGCACAGGTTAGCCATATAAAACTTGTAGATGTTTTATAATAGTCAAATTACTAGGTTATATAAAATAATTGAAGTCAGAATACTATAATTCTACATTAATGAAACTGATGTGAAGAAAAGGAAAGGACATGAATAGGCTGTCAGATGAAAATAAGGTTAATCCACTGATAAGAAATTTGGTGAGACTATTGATGCTTTAATCTGGCAGTTGTTTGGTTAATAGATGCCTAATTGTTGAAATGCTTGGACACAGTTTAGACTGGCACACATGTTTCAGCATCTTCCTGCAAATGATCAGAACATCTTAAGAGTTGGATGACCTGTTATCCTCTATTAGGTTCAGTCACATCTCAATTAAGAACCAACTACTCTGCATCTAACTCTTTCCAACCATGGACACAGCTCAACAACCTGCACTTCTACATGGATTTGAGTCAAATCCTTTTGTCACTAATAATGAATGCATATGTTCCACAGTTCTTTGGAAAGTCATGGCTTCCATCAAATGCTGGCTAATGCATTATTGTCATGAAAAGATATAATGCACAAGGAAGACAGACTATTTTTTTTTTCTTTCTGGAGGAATATTATATGATTCACCTATGAGTCACTGGCTATTAGTTATGTTTATGCATATGCTGAAAGTACATTTTGATTAGTAAAAACTGAGATGAATACTTTGGGAATTTATTTCAAGAGTAGTGAAATGAGATTTCAAGATGAAACCTGACAACATATGCCCATTGATATGCTTTGTCTTAGTTCACAAGGCAAGTCTGCTATCCCCTAAAGAGAACAATAATGGCAGAGGGAATTATTCCAACACAGTGAGCAAGTCATTTTCTGAATCTGGTTGGTCCAAAATCACATCTTGTTTTCGAAGACAGCTATGCTAGATTGATATGTTAAAGGGAAAGGGTTCAGGAGAACCCTGTTCTCAAAAGTTCAGAAAAGAAAACCTAATTGCAAAGGTCTTATTCAGTAGAAAATATCATTGTGTCATCAATGACACCACCCAAAGTGAGAAGGTGTTGACTTGCTTGATCATCTTTTCCATACCACTCCATTTATCAAATGCCTAGGATCCATGCCTATGATTGAGAAACATAGTTGAGCTTATCCTTAAGCCACTTGCTACCATTTCAATTTAGTGAATCAAAAACCATTGGAGTTGCATACGACAGACAATAAACTGCATCTCTCCTGTTAAAATGTAAATAATCATTATATTAATAATACATCATGTGATCTCCATTTGTTGCATACCACAAGAATTCTGACAGAGATATGTTGTAAGTTTCATGACTTGCTTGAAAGCCCAGAGATGGAAGTTCTGCAAACATGAATCTCTCTCTATATATGAAGTCATATGGACAGCTTTTTGTTTTTAGTACTTCTTGGATATTCTTGAATTGCATTTATATTATGTAATTATTCACCATCAGTGGATGACCAAACAAGTGAGATCAATATTATCCTTATATAATAACTGTAATAAATTCTTTCAAACAAAAAAAGATCTTTTTTTTTTTGTCACCGTATAAAAAATTTGATAGATTCCAAAAGATGTTTCTCTGTTTATATCAACTAAGTTGAAGATGATATATTTAGGATCATCATAGTCTTTCTATCTGTGTTTGAAGTTCCTATGGTAGATTAAGTTTTGTTCAAATATTAATACACCATCTATTTTCTATGTATTAATTCCATTTATTAAGGGCACCAAAGAAACAACCGTCCGATCTGTTCGGAAGACATCATCTTTTAGATCCAACGTCTCTAAAGGGTCCGCACAACAGTTATACGCGGAACTCCGTTCCTTGTTTACTTTAGCGCCGCTCCAACGGCTAGTTTCGAAGGAAGGGAGATTTAAAATGAAGACCCAATTGCAGTTCATCTCAACCCAAAAAGCCCGTCACGAATCGACGCATCTCGGCCTCTCTTCCAACGATCCCTTTGTCTCGCGTCTTCATCTTGTTCTTGCGAGATTGGAGATGGAGAAGCTCCGGTTGGATCTGATGAAGGAAGCAGAAGCCGTCTGCACTGAGGACGACGAACTGTACGAGGAGATCGAGGCCCCCAAGTTCGTCGATTTCACCGTCCCCGACCGATTCCGCCCGGACGACCGCTCCTGGTTCTGCGCCCGCGTCGGTGAGCGCTTTCTTGCTCTTTTGCAGTCTGCAAAGCATCAGTCTTTGGTTGATTTTGGATGCTGCTACGCTTCCATTCCCGAATCAGATTTCGTTGTAGAAGGAATTCGACTCGAGTGAGTGTGATGGTTTATGTTTCAGGTTGTGATCAGACTCACGAGGAAGTTGATCCTGAAGCTCTGTACAGAACCTTTCTGCTTCGGGTTTGTGATTCTTGTTTGCGTTCCTTGTCTTCCCCTTTTATTGCTTTGTGGTTCTTCTTTTAGACCATTTCGACGAATGAAGCAGGTCATGGCGGCAAGAAGCCCCAATGTGCGACATCGAAAAGCATTAGGTCGACCAGCTTCAAGGTATGGATACGTCCATCTCATTGTGTGTGTGTGTTTCTCATGCTTCTTTGAACGGAAGTCTATGAGGTAATTCTCTTTCAGTTTAATCCCGAGATGTCCTCAATCTGCTCCCGCAAAGTCCTCCAAGAGTAGGATTACGAGATTGAGCACTATGATTGCAGTCCCAGAAAGCACGGCAAAGTCAAAACTGAAGGACCATCCAATCTCGAGCTTGAGATCAACCCCAAGCCGAGACAAGGCAAAACCGCAGCATTGCCCGATGAAGGAGGCATTAACAGAGCCAAGAAGGCAAAGGTGTCTCACCAACCGAGAGGGATTTCGGAGCGTGAGGCATCAAAAGGAACCAGTTCCTGTGGTGAAGAATAAGGCCGTGGTGAGGTCTCTATTTGACGATACAACCAAGGAAAGGCCTCTGAGGACGACTACTCCATCCAAGTCCACTGCTCCCCCTGTATCAGAGGATCGTCCCGAGACGAGAAAGCTTAAAGTAGGCAGTCGTATGAAGAACGTGCCCAGCAGGTATCTCTGCATACCGAAAACTCCAATGAGTTCTAAGAGAGCTGAAGATTCTGCAAAGAGTTTGAATAGAGCTAAAGAAACTAAAGTTAGTACAAAGTTGAAAACCGAGCCCTCTTCGAAGATATGTGATCCGTCAGAGAATCAAGAAATCAGCCGTGACGGCTCAAGTGACATGGAAACTGATGGAAAATTGAGCAACCTCTGTGTCGCAGCAACTAATGTTGAAGAGCCTCTTCCATCTCTGGTTGCGGGATTAGAGTCTCTGCAATTAGCTAAAGCGGACTCCACAAGCTTGCATAGCTCAACAATGGAGAATTGCGAGAAAGTTACAGAGAATGAGGTTCCTCTGCCTCATGCTTCCAGCAAAAGATCAGCTAGCGAGGCAGGAAATGAAGAAAATTCTACTGAGTTGGATGATAATAAGGAAAATGCTTCAGACACCAACAAAGGAAGGTATTGGCAAATCTATTTGATTTATTTACCTTTCGATGCTACTCTTTTTACTGGAAAGATTTTACTTGTACTTTTACTGGCAAACGATGATAGAGTTCTGAATTCAAATGCCAAAAGGGATGCGAGCGAGGACTTTAAGTCTGCAGCTAGTGAGAATGTTCCCCCAAAGGCATGTTATGATTGAGCATAACTATCCGAATTAATTTTTCATCATGATCACAAATAAGGGTTGTTCATTTATACAGGTACTTCGACCTCAAATCAACTCCTCTGATAGAGTAGGAAAGCATAAGAGAACGACAAACCCGAAGCCTTTTAGACTTAGAATTGATGTGAGTTTGTCATGCATCTTGAGCTTTATTTACAGTCAGATATGTATACAATTTACTTGAGTGTGCCTGTTTGCTGCACCAGGAAAGGGGAATTCTTAAGGAAGCAAATCAGGAGAGAAGGCTTCGGATTGAAGCTCAAGCTCAGAAGCAAGCTGAATCGACTCTCAGAACGAAGGTTGGTAGCATTTCTTGTTTGTGCATTTTGCCTTCCCATAGAAAAACCAGTACAATCAGAAGCTCAGCTGATCATTTACATAGGCAGCACCTAAATGACAACCCACTTTATTGGAACAAAGTAGTGTTGAATCATATTTCATGGATCCCTGCGACCTTCATGCTCAGTTGATATTTGCAATCCATCATATTTTTAAGGCCAAACAAAGTTCAAGAACATGAAGTTCACTTCTAATAAGTAGTGTGTTTCAACCAATGCAGGCATTAGTTGGCAAAGAGAAAATAGCCGAAAAACCTCAGAGCAGGCTTCTCAAGATGGCATCATCGAAGCAAACACTCGAGGATGGAAGGTTCTAACCATCTCTTCTAAATTGGGACTCTTACATGTCTACAATGTGAACTCTTACCCTTCTTTCCTGCATGTAGTGTGACAGCACTGAGGAAAGCACCAGTTTCACAAACAGGAAGAGAAAACTGCAAGACCACAAGTCCTGCAGTCACGACGTTGAAGGGGAAAAGGCCAGCAGCAACAGTCGCAAGAGAGCCAAACTTCCACAGGATCCATCTACCAAAGGGTTGCTCCAAAAGGGTAGAGGTACAGCAGAGCTGATGAACTCGGTTCCACCTTCATTCCTTTATTGAATGAATTCTTCATCTGTGCCTAAAGCTCCCAGCATCTTTCGTTCAATTGTTCCATTGAATTCTTTAGTGTGTAAAATGTGAAAGGTCCACCGGAATTTCCTTTTCTTTTTTGTTTCAAGCATCCATCCAAATAGGACCCAAATCTAATTTGACATGAAGGATTTATGGCCTTCTCCTTCCAAGAACAGCATTTCTTAATGGAATAAAGGGATCAACAGCATCGGACTAATCTGCTTGTCTATAATGCAGATTTATTGCCCACTTAATTTCATATATTATTGCTGTTATTGTTATTAGAATTTTAACGTTGGCAGTAAAAAGGGAATCTTACCGTTGGTTGGGAAAGGTGCGGATCTCAAATGCATCTGTCCGACTTCGCACGCATCTAAAAGCAAGGAGGTGGCCGTTATGTTGTTTCTTCCACAGAATAGACAGCAGCGGCGCGTTCATTACGGTGTCCCAAAAGCTAACGGCTAGTTTTCCTACCATTTTAAGTACTAAATAGAGGACTCCATTTCACCAAAATCATACACGGTATATATGTTTCTATTTGTCACGATAAATTAAAATTTAATATACTTATATGATAAGTCCATTTGCCATTGGTATTAAATCGTAGACTTACGAGGAATTGTCTGATAAAGCAGGTGGGCATACCTGTATAATTTTATCCATTCGAAATTCGTAAACTTCAAAAGACACCTATAAGAATAAGAATAATCTAACGAACTTATAAATTCTTGGTTCTCTTACTTCTCTAAGATTAAATATTTTTATCAATGCTCTCTCTCTAAGAGATTTAAGAGCTCATAACCTTCCTTCTAGCGTCAGTTTGATCGATCATTCGTGTGATGGACTTATGAGAAATTATCTGTTTTGGGTGGTGAGCGTACCCATACGATTTTATCCTCTTAAAACTCGTGAATTTTAAAATTATATATTTTGTAAATATAATCTTTACAAAATTAGACTTAAAATACGTATTTATCATTTTAATTAATTGATTAGCAATATTGACATTAAAACTCTACTACGAGTCAATGATTAAGATATTTAAATGCTTAAATTAACCATAGACGTTGCAAAGTTGGAGTCTGAGCCAAACAAAGGAATCCGAGAGAGAGCATCGGACTTGCATTCCTTCTTATGTAAACTGCTTCAGCCATAAGCTTGTCCTCATCTCAATGGTATCTATGTGTACTTTTCTACTTCCTCCTCTTTTAGGGGCATCTCATTCCTCTTGGTGGGTCTCTCAACCTTGTCGGCGAGCAGATTCGAGTCACAAGATATGGAGAATGTACAATGACAATGTCATCATATGATCTTTACGTCAGGTTGATGTCCTTCCCAAAGTGCTCTATGTGGAAGTGCATATAGTTCCACTCGGAGCTTGTTATGGGATTTCAATTACAGTTCAATATTGTTTTTCAGGTCAGTAATAATTACTAAGTATGTTTTGTAATTAATTATTCTTAATATTTTGATCCATATATTTTTAAAAATTATATTATGATTTATATATTTATGAAAGCAAAACATTTAATCTTATTTCTTCTCACGTTATCAACTTTGCTAACGAAAATATTACATATATTATCACGTATAAAAAATGACGTTAAAAGTAGATTAAAAAATAATTTCATAGTATTATTCTCATCTTCCAAAAGAAAAAAATCAAGAGAGAAAGAAAGAAATTTTGTTGGGAAACGAAGTGAAACATTGTTATTTAATTGCTCTACATTTTCTCTTTTTATTTTTGGAGGTTTTGTTGGAAAATAAAGCAATGGGTGGAAAAGATTTTTTTCTCTTTGTCCTCTCGTCTCATCCTCGACTTTTATAGAACATTTCTCGACTATTGCTTTCACATAAGTTACATAAGAAAAAATTAATATCAATGAGAATAGCATTATGAAATTATCTTTTTAATCTTATTTTAGTGTTATTTTTTCATGTGATAGCACATATGGTATTTACGTCGGTAGAGCCGTCGATGACATGAGAAGAAACAAGATTAAATATTTCACTTTTATAAGTATAGAAATTTGATTGTAACTTTTAAAAGTATAAGGATCAGAATACTATATATAGATAACTACAAGAGATAATTTATAATTATTATTTTTTAAATATCGGCTCTCTAAAACTAGCCACCATCATTATTTTATTACCTCAGAAGCTTTTGTGTCCCGAAAGAACTACCAGCACAAACTATGAGATTCAAACATCACAGACCAGTGAAGAAACCAGAATCTTTGCTTTCTGTTTTGTAAATATGACTCATATGTTAAGTTTCCAGGTTCTGAGACTGGCTTTAATCACATTTATTTGGTGCTGGGTAAATAAATTGTGGTGAATTTTCACTGTGGAGAGATTTTGGCACCAAATTTTAGTACTGGTGGAAGAGCCAAATGAAATGGTGCAGCCACCAGCAAAGACCTTTCCCTGTCATATATGAACCAGGCATGCTAACAAAGCACCCAAGTGAGCAGAAGATACCAATCATGAAAGCATATAGCCATAGTCATGTTTAAAGATTATGTAATAATTCAGTCCTCTATTCTTGAAACAATAATTCATTAAAAACCAATAAACAGTTTCTGCAAAATCCAACACAATTTCCTTTTTCACATACCAAACAACAAATACATCACCAGAGACTACTTGCTTTCCTCAGTCCAGCAACTAGCTAACTCTGACTATATACATGAAGCAAGTGTCATGTTTTCTGTAAGAATTCCTGATACCAGTAGACATACCCATATAAAAAGCAGAAAAGCATCTTATTACTTTCTTCCATGAATCATTCAGCACTCTGTCTGGATGCACTCCATTTATCTATTGGGTTCTGGATGGGGGATCTGAATTGAAGTGCATATGGAGAACATTGTGGAGCTCAGCATCCCACAGAATTGATGCCTTTCCATGGAGAAAGTGAATCAGAAGAGCTAATTGAAGAGGCGTAATTGACGATGCCGAACAAGGTTCCAACTTACCTGAGCCATGGAGGGAATCTGAGAGATGCTAGTCCCTGAATTGTGTGCAAGTGGGTAGATCATTCCTGTCGGTGTGCTTCCCCATCCATTAGACTGGTAGGTGCTTAATCTTGAACAGTACCCAGGAGCAGCTGGACTTCCACACTTTTGAGTGAAGGACCAATTGATGTAAGCAATGAAACAAGCAGGTGATCATGTTCCCCGAGCAATAAACAACACCAAGTGCAGGTGAAAGAACAGAAACAAATTATATGTTCTGCTGAAGTTGGGAACAAAAAGGTCACCAGAAAACAAAACCATTACCATCAGAGTACAGTAGTCTTACATCTTTCAGAAGACTCTGCTCCACTTTCAAATTAATTTCTGGATGAACCGCCGCAAGCTTCATCGACAGGAACTATGACAACAAGCGCGGTCGAACAATCATGTCTATGTAAAAGAGCTTACGTAAAGGAGCTTTTGCGCAAGAATCATCTTGGCGACGATTCAAGATTGGAAGATCATTTGAATGCATACCTCAACTTGCTGTTGGAGTGACTTGACATAGTTGATAATTTCATCAAGCATTACTGCTTTACCAGTAATCTACAACAGTATTCGAGCACTGAAGCCACTCAAAAAGAATTCATGGCAACCAAATATGGACTTAAAAAAGCATTAAAAGATGGTTGTTACCTTACCGCACCCTGGAACAAGATTTTGAAGAAACCTCATCCTTTCACTAATCCTTTCCCTTCGAACCTGCAAGTTACTGAAGTAAATTTAGATACAGAGTCAAAGAGTTCATGGAAATATGTTTATTTCGATCGATGCTAACTCTTTCTGCAAGACTGTGACTATTTGTGGCTTGACCCCGCTTGGCTCGAGAGCGAACGTGATCTTCTTTGGTCACACCAACAATCTGGTGGGACTCCTCGGCGAGTTTAGCATCGAGATTATAGGAGTTGGCATCTGCATTTTGCTCACAGTCATATTCCTTGCTCTCATCTTTCTTAGTTGCACTATTTACAATGTCAGCTGGAACATCTTTATGCCATTCAGTATTGGCATTCTGAATAGAAATCATGGAAAACTATTAGCTGATATAGCATCAGATGAGCTAAGAAAGGTAACAGTGAAAATAAAAGGTTTTATCTTACTTGAGTTGCATCAAATGAGGATTGTGGACTTGGGGCAAACCAATCCGACACCTCCTTCCTTCTCTTCTGTGTACACCTGCTCCTGGTTTGATGCTCACTGCTTGCAGCAGATGGAGTCCGGATGGAACCAAGCATGTCAGGGAGCTTCTCAGTGCCAAAGGATGAACACCTTGCAATTTGCCCAGTCCCATCATGAGAACCACCGATCTCTGTGGTCTCTGGGACACCTCCATGAGAGAAAACACCAGCTGTCTCTTTCAGCCATACATTTTGATCCAGTGATGAAAAGGGACCCCAGTCAGTATCAAGAAAATCTTCAGCAGCATTTTCCAGTGCAGAAGCTTCGTTTCTGTACATCTTCAATCGCTCACCACCTCCTCCTCCTCCTCAGACTGCTGGGCTGAGCCAGAGCATAACACTACCTCTCATTACTCGGATATAGAGAATTGCCGGAGAAGCATAGACGGAGATAACCCAAGCGACCGAGAGGATCTTTACTAAAGAGAAAACTGAGGAGTTTGACCGGTCATTTCTTGCAGGAGTTAACAAGGAACAAATGAACTGGGCAGCCTTGTACCAACCAAGTTAAAAGCAAAAGGTGAACTCTGCAGCAGCAGCAGCAGCATCCTATACACAGACAAAGAGAAAAGAGAAGAACCATGTTGAGGCATATTATCAAACACCCAACAGCTGGATATCTTTAGAGCCATGAAGGATTACATCCATTATTCTACCACAAAGTGCCCAAGAGACAACAAAGTTGGACCTTTCACCAGAACATAAAGGGGACAAAGAAGGAACGAATCCAATCAGTTTACAGCTAAGGCTTGCCAGTAAAAAAACCAAAGCCGATTCCTTTGCAATGTTACTGCACCATCACTTTCTCTCATTCACCAAACCAAGCGTCAATCCCTTTGATGGTCATGGATAAACCAAAGGTTGCAGATTGAAGAGAAGAGCCTATCGTGTGAGTTCTGATCTCTGGAAAGCTCGGAGGATGAAAGAATCATATTTCTCCATGTTAAGGCTACGGAAGATCACATCGACGAAATGGACCACAAATGAGAAGACTTTGTAGCCAAAAAAGATGGGTGACAAGATAACCTCTCTGGATCCTGTCTGAAAAGAGTCTATATGTTGAAATGCTTAAAGCATCATCAAGCTTTCCCAGATAGCAACAGAAATGGACAGTGCAAACTGGCTTGTGGTCCTATTGCAATTTGGAAACCATGAGAAAATTTCTGCAGACCTGCAGAAGCAAGTGCAAACAGTCTGAAGCAGAATCCCTCAGACAATGTGTATCACGTTGGATCTTAAATGCAGCACATTTCTCGAAGATGATTGTTGCAGATATATTAGATCCCGTCAGAACTAAGTCGATTAGATTTTCTTCGTAGCTGACTTAGTCAACCCGATCGCCACGAAGCCGTCGCAAGCTTCCGTCGGTACCAACGAGGAAAGCCCACCACTCGTTCGAGGAAATGCAAAGCACAGTTTATGATACTTCAATTTAGACCCCCTCAAACCCTACCCATGTCTCACCAATTCCAATAAGTGCTTCCCTGTTCTCCCTCTCCTTCGAGTTGTTGCGGAGTGCAGCACCATGTCCAAATGGATCACCTTTGTGTTCATTGCTTTCCTCCTGTACTTGTGTCTTTGTGCCATGCAGGGAGGCCAGAGCCGGTGGATCCGAAGAAGACCAGCCTTCAGGTACTGTTTTGGAAGGAGGAGATGAAGCTTAGCTTTTGGTGCCTTTGGTTTGACATGTTCTGTTTCTTGGCTGCTGTAGGGTGTGGAGGAGGAGATGGCAGACAAGGTGGAAGGATGTGAAGGGAAGGGGTCGGCGGGGGGGATGAATGCTTGATGAGGAGGGCCCTGGCTGCCCACGCCGACTACATCTACACCCAGGAAGCACCATCACGAGGAGATGACAACCTTCTGCTGCATGCCTTGGAATGTTATCGCGTGCATGTAAACATCAATCTTATAACGACCGATCGGTCTTAAAATAGTAAATTCTGTATTTATCTCTCTAAATTAAAGTTTAAGAAACAAAATTATGAGTAACATTTATGTCTAGATAAGTCTTTAATACAATTAGGACAATAAACTCGTAAAGTTTCAACCAATTATTTGGAATTTTATTATATATATAGTTATGTGTTTAATTAAGTTAAAAATATTTTTTTAATTAAAGACTTTATACGTCTTCCTCTTACTCTTCTTAATAACCATTTCACATCTTCTAATTATCACATATCTTTTGAATATATGTTCATATTATATTAGATTATTTTTTTAATTTTATAATTATACTTAATTATTCACAAATAAATTTTTTTCATGTTTCTTAGGAATTTCACACATTTATTGTAGCATTTTCATCTCAATAATATAAATTTTTTCTCTATGTTATTCCTTAATCGTCCGATGCTTATATTGATAAAAAAAAATATATAAATTTAAAAAATATTTTATAAATTTTATTTTTAATCTTAAAGATACTCGGTTATCATATAAGACTCATATCTTGTCATTTTATTCATCATGTTTTTATTCCGTTAATGATATCTATACTGATCTCTTTATCTTATTTAATAATTGATAAAAAATAACTAAAAATTTTTACTTAATGAATTTTTTTGCTAATCCAATTTAATCATCTCCTTTTGTCTATAAATTTTTAATACTTTTCAAATTTGTTCATTGGACGTATGCTAATGAAAGTCTCGTAGAACTATTTAAATACAAAGCAACGATAAACCAACATGTCCAACCATGGAAATGCCTTAGAGAGTGTTAGGAACATATAATTGACGTCTAGTCAACTTGGGGATTATTCAAGATAATTTTGTAAAATTATCAAGTTTTCTAGATATCACTACAAAGATTAAAGTCAAATGATGTTGATCGATATAGTCCCTTCGACGTTCAAACTAATAACCCGAGATATATAAGTGTAGACATGAATTATAAAAAAAAATGATTCTTTTTCATTGTATTAAAGATAAATTTTTATACTTAAACGTAAAAAGATAAAATATTATATAAAATATTTTATGAAAACATAATCTCTAATCCACCTCAATAATATCCTCATAGTTTCTTGTGAGCAGTAAGAGGGGGCAGCTCATCATATGACGACGTATCAGATGAATATTGACTAACAATATACTCTCGATCACCGGGCATCTCGATACGCTTCTGCTTGCTGCCGTGTCGGTCGTTCAGAATAACGTCGAAGGTTTCGCTTATGGAATCTTGGTAATCCATCCACTGATATCAATCTAACTTTTTGGATCCAAGTGTACCTCAGCTGCTTCTTCTTCTTCTTCTTCCTTGAATGCTCTGCAGTTAGGCATGGGGAGTGATTTGGAGACACTCTGTGGCCAAGCCGTGGGTGCCGGGCAACTACACATACTAGGAATCTACATGCAGAGATCATGGATCATCACCTTAGTGATAGCCACGGCTCTGACACTTGAAGCTGCTGCACCAGCCCGATGACACATCAGATGTCGCAGGCAGATTCCGCATCTGGGTGATCCCACAGCTATTTGCTTACGATGTGAACTTCCCCCTGCAGAAGTTTTCTGAGTCCCAGAGAAGGGTGTGGGTGATGACTGTGATCGCTGGGGTGAACCTGGGCATTCACATCCTCCTGAACTGGCTCTTTGTGGTCTAGCTTGGTCATGGAGTGATAGCAGCAGCCATGGATTCTCCCTGTAGGCATTCCAAAACCTTTCTGCCTCCGTGAAACTCTCAATTGCATCAGCTATAATGAATGCTATGGTTGGGTACTCTGCTAAATGTTGAGGTTTAAGACTTGTCCAGGATCAACTCGGTTGCTTCGATCACAGCTTGGAGCTCCGGTACTACACTGCAGTGATGATTCTAGTGGGCTACTTGAGAAACCCAGATATGGAGATCGCTGCCATTTCTATCTGGTTTGCTGTTCTTCCTTGTCGCCTAAAATTGTTGAGATCTATTCAGGGACAGCATCGAATTGTTTTGCCTTTTTCTCTTCTTTTATATACTCAGTAGCTCTTCTATGTTCTAACGACAAAAATATGCTCATCGATCTTATCATCAATGCCACCATAGAGATTCAAATGGATGTTAGTTGGAACATTGGTGCAAACTGTTGGGTGTTGATGCCGATTACAATCAGAACTAAATGGCAGAAAGAGGTATCTCGACATCATTGTCTTCACCGAGAGAGACTTCAAATGTCATTTGTGCAGGCTTGCAAAACCAGAAGAGCCCATCCTTCAAGAGCATGGCAAGAAAGAAGCAAGCCACAATCTTTAATTTAAATGCATGCATTATCCCCACCATCCTTCAAGTGCTGATTAGCCACAAAAAGGGACTAACAAGAGATACCTGGAAATTCACCGAATCTCAGACCGAGTTACAGATCAGGAGAGGGTGAAGTACGATTACCCGAGACGATTTCTATTGCTTGGAGTGCAAGTCGACGAAGCAGATAAGAGGCCGGAAGAGGAAGGCGGAGGAGGCAGCCTTTTTGGGGAGGTTACGTGGCTTGCCCTTCGAGAAAGGGGGCACGAGGAAGCAGTCAGTGACGGCAATGGTCGGTGTGGCCTCCTACGTAATTAGAGAGTTCATATAGTAGATATGTTATCATCAAAACACAAATCCATTGTCGTCTAGTCCGGTTAGGATACCTGGCTTTCACCCAGGCGACCCGGGTTCAAATCCCGGCAATGGAATATTTTCTTTTATTAGCATGGATGTTTCTCGATATTTTATTTTATTTTCATACACCCCACTTAAATATGTGTAAAGAAATAGATAAAATTTTTATTAGATATCAATCAAAGATTTTGAGTATATGTTGTGTTTAATTTCTTGGCCGACATAAAAAGTTGGATGCGTAGTCGAACTTAAAAAGTCTTCAGTTTGATCCGTTCGTGAATTATGGCACTCTTGAGATCGAAAGATGAGCATAGAATTATTCTCTAATTTTGAGGGGCAGTGGGGTGGGTGCCATCAAAGTGGAGGAGAATTATTCTCAAGCATCTATTTGACCGGAAAGCAGCAATGTGACTGAACCATCACATAGAGATAGAAGAATAAGGTTGTCGACTGTATATTAAAATGCTCAACACATAGGTCTCGAGAATTTGTAGAACTAAGTTAAACGAACATTCGAGTACATTAAGAAGAGATCCGGAAATTGCAGATAAATCTTTTCCACATGGTTGCAAAAGATTACCCTCCTCTCCATGAAATCCTCCAACTCTCCCACAAGTAACTGAAGCAAATTTAAGACAAAAAGGAAAATATTAGACCGTGTAAAACAAGTGAATTATTGAGCATATCTTCTCTCCCAAAAACTTTATAAGTAAGAAATGAACAAGGATACATGCTTCGAAATGCACATCGGTTAATTGTTATGCATTATTGAGCCAGCAAGATGATTAAGGTCTTAGTCGTCACCAAAGGGTTTTCTCCACTTGCTGAGATAAAATTGTATGGATCCCACATTGATGGGAGTTTGGCACACTGGATCATATATGTATATATTAAATGCATTGCAGCATCTCAACATGTAGATCGTCTTGTTAATTTAATTGATCCCATAACTCATATAAGCTTCAAGGTTAGATATAGATATGAATACATCATTTTAAACAGCACTCCTTCAAATGCAGAGACAACACAACTAGATATATTTATCGATTAGTTACAGAAAGCAATTTGTTTACCAAAATGTCAAAGATGCTCGTCTTGAGGCAAGGCAGGTCATGGATTGAATCCTATAATTCTTTCTTCACCAGCGTAGAAGATAAGGAAGCACAGATTCAAACACCGGTTAGTAAGATGCATAACAAATGGAATTTCGAGGTTCGACCATACAAAGAGATCATATGATCCAGTGCAGTACCAATTGGTATATCATTTTTAGTGATACCAGATGGTAATGCTTCGGTATGTAATGACCTACAGTAAAATCTGCCAGTGGAATTTTTGGTCAAGAAGATAAGACATGGAGTTTATTTTCTTTCAAAGAGCAATTATTCTGGACTCTTATGAACATAGGGTTGAAAAGTATGGAAAAGTACGAGAATTCCACTAGTGCTTTCTTAGTTACCAGATTCATCTTCCTCTATCAGTCTTTATAGCATTCAACCATGTATCGATCGAAGACAACTTATATCTTCAATAGATTAAAAATAAAAGATATTGCCAATCCCCTCGACACAATGATTGTAGAGCCTTGTTGGCATTGAATTAGTGTCGTTACACATGCATAACCATGTCTTGAAAGAAGATTTTTACATAAGAAAAGCACAATTAGAAGAGCACATGTTATTTTCTAATGTATATACAACAAATAAAGACAAACGACAAAAGTCAGCCCAAAGATAATGTGCAAGTGCAGACAAAGGATTGCAATTCTGCTCAGGCCATTTCGTACCATTCGGAATTTCCCGGTTACAGTGTGAACCAGTTAATTTTCGACAATCCACATGTAGCACAGGACTTACTGCCTGGTAAGTCCTATGAGCTAGGCTTATCATCCCGGGGCACCCAAAACTACAATCCCATAGGACCAGGCTTACCATCCAAGGCAAGGATCAGGTACCCAAAACTACAATCCCTGGTGCAGAAGATCCAGCCCTTTTGTAAAGGCCGATTGCACTTCAAGTATAAAAGTGGTATAGATAAGGTCAATGCTTTCAGGGGTAGCAACAACATATTCATGGACATCCTTGATCATGAAACAAACCTTCATGAAGCAACTAAGTGATAAAAGATGCCAGCAGCACACAAACAAGATGAAGGATCTATATGATAGAGAAAGACGGAGGAATGAGTTGTGGCAAAGAGATAGATATCAATCTCTGTCTATAGAACATATAAAATCGACTATTATGTAACAAAGATTTTCCCAGTTCAAAGAGGAGAAACGCTTACATGGATTTTAGACCTACATGATGGAGAAAAGCTCATCTTGTCAAACACAAATTCTTATTAAGACCTCAGAACTCTATAGATGGGAATCCTAATAGCTATACAGCTTAGCAACCTATATATAATGAGATCAAGTCTTGTAAACACCAAATACTGTTAAAGATGACTCAAACACTGTCTATGTAGCTACTAAAATAACTACAAGAACAATCTAAAAGGGACTTTGTATGAGCCTAAAAGGAACCTCTCCACACTGGACCGATGCTGGGCTCTTTCTTGCTGGAAAAGACGAATCATGATGCACACGGGCTATCCAAATCTGTACTTTGTTGAATCAACACGTATATGGGTCCATTTGATGTTCCAAGGCTTGATACAGCAGAATAAGCCTTGGCAAAGTTCAAGGCTGATGGAAGAGGTTCTAGGATCTGCAAGAGTGTGGCAAGGCCACATATTTATAGAACAATCTCGGAACTGATGGCCAAAAGGGTTAGTGTGTTTCTTGACAAAGAATGATAAGGTATAGAATATTATACTTGTAATTCCTCACATCGAAAATGGGTAAGATTAAAATTGAGTATTCTACTATTAATTTTAGCTTAAGTAATTTGACCAATGATTTAAATCAGAATTAATAGGAATGATGAGGTAGCTCGAGTAAGCCCGGGTACTATGTGACGGCTAACTGATCATGCCATTCATAGATCACGGACAACAACATTAGCATATTGAAATCCAAAAAAAAATCCATTATAAAGCGATTAGAAGGGATCAAATCAAGACCACCAATCTCTCTGCCGATTCAAGAATGAAAAATCTTCAAAACCAATTACGTTCCACTACGATTCATGATAGACGGGACCAAGAAGGGAAGAACCTGATGCGAGGGAAGAGAGGCCTTCAAAGTTCGAGCTGGAGCTCCTCCTTCTCCCGGGAAAGGTAATGGAGTACGTACGGAGTGACGCGGATGACGGCGATCCACGCGCTCATGATGGTGAGATGGGTCTTCAGCTTCTTGTACGCCGTGGCCTTGTCCGGCCGCCGGGGAAAACCTCCCAAGAACATCCTTTTCTTCTCTCCCTCCCTCGCCGCTCTCTCGAAAAACCCTAGCCGTCGATCTGAAGCGTCGCGAAAGCCGATGGGTAACTTGCGGAGACGGTTTATATAGGACGCGACCAAGTCGCTAATGGGCTTGTTTGGGCCAAATGTGGGTTCTCGAAGCTTGACTTGAATATGAATGATGTATAACTTTACGTTGAAGAGAAGACTAATTAATAATGATTTGATTAGCAGATCTTGAAAGAATGTTAAAAATAGGTGGATTATTTCTTTTATTTCTGCTATGTATTTTAATTATTCCTTGAATTTTAGCAAATGAAGCACTTTATTTTAGACTGGTAATTAATACTTTCGCCGCTAATGTTGAACTTAAAATACAAAGAAATTAGATCAAATTGTGTTACAAGATAAAGACGACAAGAATATTGGGAAAAGCATTTATTGTTCAAATTAATAATAGATTTTTTTTATCAGGGTAAAAAATGGGTATCGCGGGTTATATATACCAGTCACGTGCAGACCTCGTGATCGCTCGCAAGTATCTAAAGCCGCTTACGGAGGGAGGGCTACTGCTACTACGAAGCCGCCTTCGTCGAACCAAAGACTCGCGATACACGTCCGGTGTCCCTTGGGAACACCTACACCGTGCTCTCCGCATTAAATACGAACTCGAATTATGGTTCGATTCACCACATGTGATTACCCGTTACCCAGGACCAGGTTAAGTTATAAGACTCGTGCAGAAACATTTTCAATTACAAACAGTGGCCAACCCACGCCTACGGTGGAAAATAAAGTTGAAGCGAGCCTCCGCGATGGCCTTCTTCCGCTGCTTCGTTCCGCTTCCTCCCACCGCCGAGATGACAACGATGGCGGCGCCACCCATCGCACCGTCTGCGGCATACGAGTTCGCGTGGGGGCCGTCCCCCGTGACCACCGGCGGCAGCGAGCCAAACCTGCCACGGATCACCCCCGACTTCAGCCCACCGCTCATCGCGATGGTGGCCGTCGTCGGCACCGCCTTCCTCATCGTCCTCTACGCCCGGATCCTCTCTCGACAGTTCCGCCTCCTCCGCCGTCGCTGGCGCCGATGGCGCCGGCGACGGCGGCTTCTTCAGTCCACGGCCGCAGCGTCCGACCTGGAGTCCCCTCCGCCCTTCGGCGGCGCCGCGTCCTTCGGGTCATCCTCGGACTTGTTCCTCTCGCCCTACGGCCTCGACGACGCGGCCATTAAGGCCCTGCCCGTGTCCCTCTTCTCACGGGCCAAGGCCAAGCAGCTGGCCGTCACGAACCGCGAATGCGCGGTGTGCTTGTTGGAGTTCGAGGACGACGACACGCTCCGCACGCTGCCCCTGTGCGCACACGCCTTCCACATGGACTGCATCGACGTGTGGCTCCGCTCCCACGCTACCTGCCCCCTCTGTCGCGCCGCCGTGCTCCGCCACGAGGCTATTTTCGCCCCTATGCGCGCCGCCCGGATCCGCCCCAGTCTCGACGACATCCTCCTCGTGGACCCACCGCCGGACCCCGGCGGCGTGGCGATACTTCCGGACCCCGACCCGGACCCGGAGATCACCCCTGCGGCAGCGTCCCCGCTTCACACCGAGGACGGCTTCGGCCCGCGGGACTTCCTCCTTAAGCGCTCCTACTCGTTCGGCTTCGAGCGAAGCCTGGCCGCGGAGCGCATGGTGCTGGAAGCGTCGACGGCGTCGCCATGGCGGTACCGCCAGCACCGGGTGGGCTTCTGGAGCAAGCGCTGGCCATCGCCGTTCGGGGGATCCTACTCCGCGTCGCGAGCACCGCGCGTCTTCTCCTTCCGCTCCTACCGCGGCGCCGCAGCCGCCGCCACCCTGGCCAAGTCCCCGGCCTTCTTCAAGCGTCGCGGTTTCTTCCCACTCTCGTCGGAGCCGAGCGGGCGGCTGAGCACCGGCGCTGGACCATCATCTCGCCGGAGCCGATCGATGACGAGTCCATCCTCCCTCCTCCTGCGCCCGACGCCGTCATCCTCCCTGACATTCTCCTCGAGCCGGATCCGGTGCGGGGACCCGGAGGCGCTGTTGTCCCCGGACCGGTTGAAGTAATCGACGGTAGTCGGTGGTGGCGGTGACGGACAGAGAGAGAGAGAGAGAGAGGTGCTGGGATGAGGTGGAGCTCCTTAATGGCGGGTCGCATGCCTCAATTAAATGACCTGCCTGCCCGCTTTAATGACGAGTAAAAGAGTGAGAGAGAGAGAGAGACAGAGAGAGAGAGAGAGAGAGTCTTTTCTTCCTTTCGAATATATATCCCCTCCCCCCTCTCTCTCTCTCTCTCCCTCTCTCCCTCTCTCTCCTCCGTGTCTGCTGTTCTCGCTGCGCGGCGGTTAGTTGGAAGCATTAATGTGGCTATTTCATCGAAGCAGTCGATGGAGGAGGAAGGGGGTGGTGGTGGATGGAAATGAAGTACCGGGAAAGGCGGAAGCGGAGACGTGGGGGAGGACGTGGCTGGCACGTTCCACTCGGCATGTAGAACAGGGTAGAAGGCCTTCGCGTCACCCGTCTCTCTTACCCGCCCTGCGACTTCATGACACGCCGTGAGTTATTCATCGTTCCTCCTCTTGTAGTTTCTGTTTCTGGGTGTTGTGCTGTTGCGACAGTTGGACATAAAATAAATAGTTGGAATTTAATTTCAAGGATAGCTGCTACGCATCCTTTTCCTTCGTTTCTACATCACACTTAATTTGGCCGAAAAGATGGGAGGACGTAAAACATAATAAAATATAATATCTTAATTAAATGTCATTTTGAGTCCAAATCGCTCGGAGGTTTATGGCATTTTCTTTCCTTACCAATTTGACAGGAAAAAATAAATAAATAAATAAATGTTATGTTAATTTAAGAACCTTTGGTCAACGGTCAACATTATTTATAGTTATGTAGATGTGAGTTATTTTTATGCATTTTATACTAATTCCCTAATTATAATCAAATACATAAAATAAAATTATTATATGTGGTTTAATATAAAAAAAAAAAGTGATTACCGAAAATTTTGTATTATTTTTTTTCTTGGATTCTTGTTTTAATTCTCTTAAATTTGTTTTTTTATTTATTGACAAAGAATAAGAAGGCATTTCTATAAATATATTAATATTTTCATCAAGCAGTTGGTGGTATGATTCGTGGAATAACGAAGAATTATTAGTCTGAAATATTGGGGACCAATAATACTTAAAATAAAATAAACTAAAATTATAGTCTGAGAAAAATAAAACTACAATTATAGACGGTAAGATGTGGAATGTGACCAAACAGGACCTTCAAATCATAGAAAGTACACATGATCACATAGCCATGTCCATGTTTCAGAGGTGACACTCGAACAGCTTATTTGAAGTTGACCTTAATGCAACCAGTCATCATAATTTTAGATAAGTTTTCACCAATATATCTAAGTAAGAGGTTTTCACATTAATAGTTGCTCACAAATTTACACAGCAAAGCCTTCACCTTTCAAATGAGTACAGCACTTCACAAACAGAATTCACATCTGGTAGACAAACGAATACACTATCAAAGCCAGACAACAACTTTTTTGGAGCCCTAATGGCGACGGGTGCCCTACAGAAAATGCAGGACCAAGCGCCAGATAGGGTAAACCAAAAGGAGAATGATGCCAATGCTGTTTGAGACACCATGGCTCTTTGTGAATGAGTTTCTAAAGCCACCCGACGCCCGGATGTGCTCCTGAAGGAGGTAACAGCCAATGGCCAGACATATGAAGACGCCGACGACGCCGTCTCTTATCGTGTAAGCGAAAAATCCAGGAGAAACCACCAGGAGGAGGATCAATGCTCCAGGCATTTCCAACCAGTCTGCAGAGCCAAATGTATCAAATGAAAAAGAATAGTTTCAAATTCGCCTCATATCATGGTAAAATGCAATACTCTATGATATGCTCTCGGACAATAATAGTAAATGTGAGAACTCCAGCGAAAAGCAAAGCATGAGTGAAAAAAAAAAAGGGCCTGTATTTATAAGATAAACTTGAAAAACGATCGTCCTATGAAAATTAATGTGTGCCTTATAATTGATAAGTTATCGCAGAAACTTCCATACATAGGACTAACTTCAATGTAAAAATGCTAGAATCCACAATTATCTTGTTGGAAACAATTACATACTCTTCCTGCTTCTTTAAGTTTTGGCAAAACTACCAAGTCAACCGACATTTGAAGGGAAAAAGCTTTACGAACAATATGTTATTGATGAAATCACTCATGCTCAAAATCGAACAATTTATAACCGGGAGAAAATGATGGAAGCCCAGTGAAAGCAAGGCCTGTCCTTAACAGACATTTGATTTGAGGGAGATCATTCCCCGACAAAGTGTATTGTGAGAATTAATATAACAATACATAATGCAAAGTTATCTTTTCGATAAATACCCCTGATCATATATCCTTGATTTTGATCGATAACCTTGTTGGAACTTCTTAAGTGGAAAAGAAGATTAAGGTAGCTGGCAACATTCCATCTCCAACTAAACCATAATAATGGACTACAGATTGAGTGGATTAGAGTATTGTCATAGATTTCCAGAACTTAGAATCAGAGAAAATATCCTATACATATGTCCAAATAGATCTGCTTATTTCAAAATGGATCTAATTTGGACATGTTCAGTGTAGGAATTTTGCTCGTGATTCTCTATACAGAAGATCTGATTATTTCCTGGTAGATATGTGCGGAAATCGAGTAGGTCAATTTTACCAATATGAAAAAGAAAGTGGAATCTATTTAGCAGTGCAAAAATATAGGATAAACAGTGCAGAAATATGAATCGCTATGCGATATATCTGCTTAATTACTGGTAGGTAAATGAGGAAGTAAAATATAAAGCAATATGAAATAGAAAGCGGAAACTATCTAGCAATGCAAATATGTAGGATAATTCTGGCACCAATCACGACTTAATAAATATCAATCATTATGTATGGAGCATATGCATTTGAGCACATTTGCCAAACATACTTGCCATGCTAGATCACACAAGTAAGATTAAGGATATGATGAAGCAAGCTAGACTATATTGGGTTCATTACCTGGGAAATGCCGAGGGAAGAAAAGGCGCAGGACAACAGCAATAAACGCAATCCATTTTCCAAATTCCCCTCTGCAAGTTAATAGAAGGATGATGAAATATATATCACAGAAAAGAGAAACTATAAATAATCATAGGATAACTAAAAATGTGATCTGCTGTCTGGGTAAGATATGAGTGTCTACAACATCTTTCTCATCCAAATAAAAGAAAGAAACAATGTCCATATGACCATGTCACATAAATTAATATTTTTTTAGCAAACCGTTGATAGGCTATGCTTATTACTGACTCTATCTCGTACATTCTGCCTAAGGGTTCAGTCTGAACTGTTAAACCTGCTGATCATTTAGAACCTTCAAACAACCTCACAATCCTTGGTGAAAACCAAGACCTTGGAGCGATAAACCACTATGTATTGTTGGTAGAAGGATACCAATCCGCGTAACATGATTGATGCAACTAATATTTACCTTCATTCTATGGTGCTTCCAAACAAATTTCCAAATGAAAAAAAGGAACAAAGTGATCACCTCAGTAAAGAAAATAGTACAGATGGCAGGCTCAAGAAGATATATGGAATTAAAAGTGAAGTCAACATGTTTGTCCTCCAGTTAGTTCGATCAAGGATCAACAGATATCTGCAGAAGAAGAAACAAAAAATGAGAATTTTATGTAATTGGAGAGCAAAGCTCTCGTTTTATAGACAACTATGGTTATTATGTCAAGATGTCAAGATGTTGTTAGTTGTACTGAAAAGTCATATTATCTACTAGTTTGTGATTACAGAGGCAATTACATAAAAGCATGGAAGTTATAGATAAAATTGGTGGGGAAATTGCATAATTCGTCAACATATGCTACATGATCAGATTAACTATGTATCCAAGTTTACATCCAACATATTAGAGATCACAAGAAGAATTGGAACTGGCTATATCATAGATTAGACCTAATAAATAAGAAGTATACCAAAAAAATTTGGACTTATTCCTAAAAGTTACCCAAAATAAATCTCATCTATGGTTTAGTCCTCACTCATCTGAGTACACAATGTAAATGCTTCGATGCCCTGGAGATCATTGAATAGTTCACCAATGCATTTATCTTCAACATATCTGCTGCTACGCTGATTACCGACCAATCCTTGCGTTATCACTTTCTCTAATCCAACATTTACAGAATATTGCACATTCAAGGTTTGCAGTTGATCTATCATTTTTTAGTTTGCTACAATATGTTAACAGCAAACCATTCTATTTTTTTCATCTAAGTTATAAAAAACTAAATTGAATTAAGAAAGAAACTTAATCTATTTTTTTTAATAATAATTTAACTGAAAAACAATGTGCCAAAAAAACATCATGATATTCTTTGTTATCATCTTATTTCGATTCGAATGTTTCAGAGAACATGTAATCTCTGTGGCTATAAAGAATGGATCCATCTTTTCGCCCGATAGGATGCAATCCGGTATCCACATGAAGAAACCTTACCCCACATAGGAAGGTTATTTACTACAACCATTAAACGTATGGATGTCTGTCATTTTCAAGAATAAGTGATCATCACGATTTTCTTTAAAAAATAATACACAAGATTGTTTCAGCTCTTTCAACAGTAAATCTACATATCAAGAAGACAAACTCATACATAAATTACGACTTACAATCATGCGATTCTAAAAGATGAGTAGGGCACAATTCAGCACTCGGTCAAAAACCTAACAATTTGTTTGTCCTATGTCGAGAAAAAGAAGAAAACCCCGAGATCAGAACCCACAGGACACGTTAGATCGCTAGTTCTCTAATTCTGATTACCACGGAAGCAACCGCAAATCCGCGGAATGCGAAAAGGCCAAAGGAAAGAAAAGACACCCGAGATCAGAATCGATGGTTCCCATCAGAATACGGCATATATACAGAATCATCAATGAACGGGCAAAAAGAGAAGGCGTAAGAGAAAGGAAACAAACGAAATCGAGGAAAACCGACATGGCGGCGAAGGAAGCGAGGAACTTGAAAAAGGTGGTGCCGACGCCTAGCCCGCCGCCGACCATGAGGGCGTGGTTGGCGAGTTTCCTGGCGGCGACCCCAAGCTCCTTCAGATCCGATTGGATCAGGTCGTCCCCGCCGACGGGAGCGTAGCCCGTCTTCATCCTCAGGTACTCGTTCGTCATCTCTCTCTCTCTCTCTCTCGCCGGCTCTTTTCTTCGAGGAAGTCTCGGACGAACTCCGGAGAGATTTAAAGCCAGCGAGGGAGGACACGTGGACGGATCACGTTTAACTCGTTCGTTCTCTCGTTGGCTCCGTTTACGGTAATGGTTTGCGTGCCCGTCACCCATTAACCCGTATTCTACCTGCTCCGCAACTGGATAAATGTAAGCAGCAAAACTATGGGAGCCACAAAGAACATCCAATAATAGCGCATGTAATTCAACGGGCAACTTTAGTAGGTAGGCAAAAGTACTTTTGCGCGTTTTACTCGTTCGTCCGACTTTCTTCAAACCGTCACGTGGTCGCACGAAGTGACCCACAACCTTACGTGCTAGCCAATTGGTGAAAGAAAAGTAGACCCCACTTAAATCCGCCTCTTTATCCAATAGTAGTGCAGGTATCCGCTCGATCAACGTGTGTCTGTACCAAAGTCGGTACACGCAGTTTTGTCGGCATACAAGAGCTGGAAATTTCTCGGCTAGCATAGCCGTTGAGCTGATTCCTCCGATCCCTATTCACATCACACATATATTCTAATCCAATCAAAGAAAACTCGAATTCTCTCTCTAAGTGGCTTCGACATGCATAGATCTCCAAAAGCAATCCGCAATCGAATCCTTCAACAAGGTCAACTATTAAATATCGAAATATTTTTTTCAAACATATTTATGATATAATCTTGCAATGTCTCAACTTAGTCTCAAGGTTAATACGAAAAAGGATATTGTTTAATTTCACTTAAATTCATCAATTTTTTTTTAAAAAAAGCTAATTGATTTTTTTTTTTTTGGATCGTATTGTCGTTCTTCCCATGCCCACTGTAATGGTGTTAAGTCAACTCCGCTCTTTTTTTTGGTATTGTCGTTCTTGTCATGCCCACCGTATGGTGGTTATTAAGTCATCACATCAAGATGGTGGATGCATATATATATATATATATATATAGTTACAAGATTGCGATCGCAGGATGAGGATGGATTAGCTTTGGATTCTTGCATTGGAGAATTTGAGTACGGAATCCACGTCCAGATGAGGGTGAGAAAGGTAGCTTCTTCTTCTTGTTGCTTGCTTGTGTATATAATATACTACATCCTTCTACTTGCTTACTGCTCTTAGAGAGAGAGAGAGAGAGAAAGAGAGAAGAATAAATAATGTTAATGTCAGATAAGGTCGGCAACATAGATACCGATGAGATAATGTTGACGAGGAAGTTAACTTAATAATGTTGTTATTCTTTAATCATAAGCCTAATGATTCAATGCACCATCTGATGACTTATCGATGATGATCGAATATATTTATTAAAGCTTCGTCCCCATGATCACCTATCATCTTATAAAAGATGTTTTGATTGCTTTTTTCGTCCGATACGTCTCTAACATAATTTATAAGATCTCCATCAACTCCCTATAACTCAAACTCAGAAGTTAATCTTAGTTGACTTTGAGTCTAACTTAACAACTCTATGCCATTGGTGTTGCTAAGAGTTATCGCTTTATGTTATATAAACTATAATATCTATTGGAAAGAGGGAGAGCCAAAGTGGCAAATCTTATTATCTGTGTTGAGTCCAAGTTTGTCATTAGTAAATAATTTCAGGATAATATTTAATCATAAACAACAACAAGAATGGCAAACTACAACTGTCACTTATTTTAGGAGAACAAAGAAAATATAAGGTGATATGTAATCCTCTGAGTGTTTTAATCAATACAAGAAAATTTCATCTGATATATTTTTATATTTAAAATATTAATATAATTATGATACATAAATTATTTTAAAAATATTTCAAAATTTAAAATCTTATCCGATGTATTTCACATCTTAAACATTGATACGATAGTAATGCACCAAATCAACTATTATTTTTAAAATAATAATAATAATAATTATTATTATTATTATTATTATTATTATCACATATTTTTTAAAAGTAATGGATAAAAAAATCAACAATTAGTTAAGTTTTTAATTAATATGGATATCTTTTAAATCGACCCATATGATGATCAAAATATTAGGGTTTTTTAATGTATATTTATATTAAAGAAGGAATAATAAATTCAGGGAGGACTAATAAAATTGTATGATATTTCAAACCAGATTTAAAAACTCCAAATAAAAAAGAAAAAGAAACACAAAAAAAATGATCCATGAGATTTTTATTTTTATTTTTGAAATTTGTGGGTTATTCACACACGCGACAGTGATGAATATTTGGCAAAACTAATTTATCCCAACCTCTCAAGCAACCAAACAAATCGTAACCAAACAAGTCGTCCGCCGGTTGAAGGCTGCTCGCTCCAGCGGCGTCTACTTGGGCCGTGCCACACCACAGTAGGAGGCGACGGCGGCGGCGAGCACCCTAAAACCCTCCCCCGATCTAAAGCCGGCAATGGCCCGCGTCGCGTCGAGCCACTTCGGCCTCCTCCGCGAGCTCCCTCCACCTCGCCTCGACCCTTCGGATCTCCCTCGCCGCCTGCGCCAGGCGACCGTCCTCCGCCTCCGGTCGACAAGACCCCTCCGCTTCCCCAAGATGGCCTGCCTGGCCGAGTCTAAGCCGGTGGAGGCTCCCCCGATCGAATCCCCTCCCGAGGTGAACCCCAACATCTTCTTCCTCTCCCGACTAAATGTATCTGTTCTGTCCCTCGAAAGGGCGTAATCACTTTCGGCGGGCAGATCGAATTAACCCGTCGATTCTTGACCAATTCTTTCGTTTAAGATCGATTCAGTAGTTACTGGAATCGTAAAGATAGATTGCTAAGTTGTGGCTTGCCGTTCTTGAATTGCTATTTCTGGGATACAAGGCCACCTGCTATTGTCAAAGAAGATCCGTGAATCCCCCCTCCATCTCCTCCTATTGACCTCCTCCTCCTCCTCTTTTCTGCCTTGTACGAAGAGTTCAGCCGGAGGAGGTCAAGGAAGAGTCGGCAGAGGTGGAGGGTTAGGTCCAGAGATAGATGAGCGGGAGGTCGAGATGGTGGCAAAGGACTGATCCAGAGGTGGAGGGGAAAGAGGAGGTGAAAAAGGAGCTGAGGCTAACATGGCTAGTTTATTTGCATTTTGCCATGTCAACACTACTCAGATTGATGGTTCAGTTCTACCATGTAGGTTAACCTAACTGAGATCAGATCAACAGTGCTAATATTTCAACATCCAGGGTTTAGATGGACCATAAAATTATATAAGGCTTAAAGTGAACATGACACTATAATACATAAATCAATAATACAATCTCTCCTAAACATAAAATGATGTACAAAGTGTTTGATCAGAGATTATTTTCTACAATAACCAATACTTTCTCAAGTTGATTCTTGTGGAGGTCCTAATCCACAACTTTATGGATCATAATTCAGGTACTTTTATTGTTAATGTGATCAAGATATCTTTTCCTGGTAATTTCACTATGTTTGGTCAATATATTTATATTTTCTCTCTCAGGCTTGGGAAATAACTAATATCTTCTTTGTGAAAGAAAGTTATATTTTGTTGCCTTCAGTATTATTTTCTGCTAAAGATGTTTAATTCAACATTTGTTACAGGATGAAAACACTGCACAACCTGGTGCAGTCGAAGAGGGCAGCCAAGATGCTAGTGTTTCCCAAAGTGCTAACTTTGTAGAATTTCCAAATAAAGATATAAATAGACGAGTAGCTTTGGCTTCTACCCTTGCTGCAGTGGGGCTTTTCATATCAGCACGACTAGATTTTGGTGTTTCTTTGAAAGATCTCTCTGCTGCTGCCATACCTTATGAAGAGGTCAGTTCGTCTTGTTTTCTTATGTTTTGAGCTTCATGTCCTTGCTTGATCACCTTCTTAAGAACAATGAAGTGTTAGAGATAAAACTTGCATGAGCTCCATCACTTCAATTGCAGTTATTTCTTTTGTTGTTTCACAATTTTGACTGTGGTAATCTTTGACACTGGCAAAAGGAGCCTTGTCGTGTTCTCGATTTGGTTAATTTTATTCATCTTGCATTCTTGCTGTCTTTGGATAGTGTACACAAGTCATTTCGATTAATGCAACTTCAGGAATGTGTTATTTTTCCTTTTTTGTTGATAATTGGGTTATCAAACATTTCAGTGGCATACATAAACAATTGGAGGGACACGTATCCAATTGTGCCTATGGAGATCTCTTAACTAGCAGCTTCAGAGAAGTGGCTCCATCATATATGGATTAAGATTTCAGATGGCTAACTAATGCTGAAACACCAGACATAAGCTTGCTTATTATTCTGCAAAAGGTTTTAAGCATGCATGGTATTTTTTTCTTGGAGGTATGAGGAGTCAATTAGAGGAGAGCACCTGAAGTATTGGTAAGTCATGTAATGTCTGGATGACCTAGCGAACTGATACCAAGATGGATCAATTGTTGTATCAGGAAATTACTTGAGATATATATATATATATATATCCTTTTCTTGAATGACAGATCTTCTCTGATAGTGAGATTAAGGGTTTTGATACTTGAAGTTGTCTTCTTGACTCCTCTCGGTCAAGAAGCATAACATAAAGCACTTCTCCTATACCGCAACCTAGTAATGATCTTGTTTGTTAACAGATTGAATTGAACTGAGTTAAAATAGCTGTCATAAGTTACTCTTGTCAATGATGGATGGTAGAGAGCTAGGTCCATACTAAATTAAACGTGCTATCTTAAAAGCCTTCTATATATACATGGTTCTCACGAAATGGTGTATTGCTGTTGTTTCAGGCTCTTGCCAATGGAAAACCCACCGTTGTCGAGTTTTATGCAGATTGGTGTGAAGTTTGTCGGGAGTTAGCTCCACAGATCTTTCAGGTAGAGCAGCAGTTCAGGTAAGATCTTGATTTCTGTATAATGTAAATTAAATATAAATAAACTAAATGCAGTTTCATCAAATATGTGAAAGAAATTTCATCTCCTGTGAAGTATGGACACAGGATCTTATATCATCTATGTAAGATTTCAAGATACTACAATTGCAAAACCCTGCCTGGTGAGTGAGCTTCCCATGTGCTGCATTGGTCCTATGTTATGCTCATCGACAGAGTATCTCCTTTTCTCTGCAATTCACTGCTAATTACCTGCTTGTATGATCTTAGACCTTAATTATACCTTCCTGGTCATTGTTTCCTCGTGTGTGACAGATTTCTGACATCACAACTAATGGATAAGATACTAACATTGTAATTCAAAATTCTCAACTAATTAAAGATTTAAAGATATTTTTCTGTCCCTATTTAGAGATTTTTACCAGAGTGGCTTCTGTCAGGAATCAAGTGAATTTCGTGATGTTGAATGTCGATAACACAAAGTGGGAGCAGGAGCTTGACGAGTTTGGAGTGGAAGGCATCCCCCATTTTGCTTTCTTGGATAAAGAAGGGAACGAGGAGGGAAATGTTGTGGGCAGACTTCCAAAGCAGTATTTTCTTGAAAATGTTGCTGCTCTTGTTAACGGTGAGCCAACAATACCCCACGCCCGAGTCGTGGGTCAGTACTCAAGTGCGGAAGCCAGGAAGGTGCATCAAGTTGTTGATCCCAGAAGCCATGGTTAATCATGTACCTTTCCTGCTCATAGCTGCTCCCACCCAACAAAATAAGTATGTTCTTTCTGTATCATCTTTAGTAGATGAAAACATCGGCAATTAGCCTATGACTCCTTAAATATATATTCTTTATCTGAGACTCAAAATCTGATTTTTGTTGAGGTTATGAAACTTAAAGCTGATGTTTTTTGTTGTTTCTCAGGCATCTTTGACCTGTGCTGCTGATTGGATCCCAAGTTGCGGAATGGTTTGCTGTGCAAATCTTTGACAATTGTTTTTCTAGATTTCTTTATGTGTTCTTCAGTTGATCTATACCACCTTTGTAGTAACAACTTGTGATGTGGCCAATCAATAGGGAAAAGTCTTAGGCCAAGATGGTCAGGTATCCCGAAAAGAGGTGTGTTAGATTGCTGTTTTGATCAGCAGCACCAAGAGATTCTTTTATACTCCATCTTGCAGCCTAAGCAATATGAAGATGGAGTTTAAAGAGGAATCTCTGCCCAGGGAACCTTTCACTAAATTTTTCATGGAATGCTTGGAAGATGATCATCACTTCCTCTTAATTTTTTCCCCTTTTTTGATGATAAATCCATCACTCTACAACCAAAAGAAACATTTTATTCTTAGCCGTAGAAGACTTGGCAACACAATCCTAGATTTGGTCTACATGCTAGGCTGTCAGAAAAGCTTGAAGGTTAGAGGTTGCAACCATCGTGTTCTCGTGTATTCTTCACCGCGTCTTGTACTCAAACCAATAACATTCTTTGGTAAAGCGGAGTCCATCTTAGTGGATTGAGTTTATATAGGGGAGCTACTAATTGTGTTATCAATCCGAAGCAAAAGGTATCAAATACAACAAACAAATAAGTAATTATAATTTTTAAAATTTCCACATTATGCTCTCAATGAACAACTAAATTACCTTCCCTCACGGAGAGAAGTAACGAAGGGACAACACAAGCATTTCCCTTTTTTTTTTTTGTCATGACTATATCACCTGACAATTAATATGAAATATAATGTGGAGTAGACATTTTAAGAGATCATCCTCTAATCAGATCACAAAATTCCTTCAAAATAAGGAGTAATCCTCAACCAAGGTAAGAGACCTAGATAAACAAATAATTAGATGTATATGAATAGATGCAGTTAGGCGGCCAGAGGAGTATCATCTTTTCAGAAAAATGCTCAAAATATGGATGGCTTTATAAAAAAAAAAGGGGATATGAGAAACATGAAATCTAGGGTCTGAAGAAACATCATGCATTACCATATCATAGTTGCCATTCTGTCCATTTAAAAGGTTAACAAGCAGGCTGCCATCTCTTATCAGCCCTTGGTTTCCTAAAGATTGCTAGTACATGCCACAAAAAGACACCTTGATTTGTTCCCAATACCTGAAAATTAAAAAAAAAAGATTTAATCAATCTTCATGACTTGCAGTATAAAGCACGAATTGCAATAAATATGATGAACGTTGGCAATTTCATTCCTTGTTCAGATAGCAGAAACCATTATACAAAATAAATTCAAATTGGGTTTCATTTGGTCAAAGATGTTTTTTACCATGATAGATGAAAGCAGATCAGAAAAGTGACATATCAGGTGGTGGCCCATAAACTGATTGCCATGATAGTGGTATATTCCACCCACCCTCTACATGACCTGAAATGGCCAGTCATACAAGTGTAAGAATTCATGAAAAAAGCTCACACTTATTAAAATATTTGAAACAAAGAAAGGGCACTGCAATTATAAAAACATTGATGCAACTGAAAAACTTGTAACTCCTGACAGAGTTTCAGTGAAACCAGCTCTAATTGGCGAAACATGCAGGCCATTAGATTAAAAAGATAAAGACATCATAATCATAGATCTTTTCTTTGAACTCACCAGATAACTTATCTGGGGTCAGCCTCAACAGTTTGCAGGCTGCATCAGCCAATTGAAAGGAATCTGCAATGTTGTCCCCCTCGGAACAATAGCATAACAAACAAGTAACTTTCAGACCTTTTGCCTACATTCAATATTCCAAACAAGTTATTTGCAACAGTTCTGAGTTACAGGAAAAGCATTCTTTAATGAAGTACCAAAAGGAGTACCTTGCAACAAGAGAACAGAGCAGCAAATGGTAAGCCGGGATAATAGTCATCATGAACCAATTCATCTTCAAAACTGGGCTCATCTTCGTGATCAGTTTTCCCTTCAGCTAGCTCATTAAGATATTTCCATCGTCTCTGAGTTGGATCATATTCCTCAAGCCTCTTAAATCCTAACCTCTCACAATCACTATCGTTTCCATCATTGTTGGTGCTTGAGACATAGTAAACCTGCATATCACTGAATGGCAACCCTATGTCTAATCTCACAAAAGCAGGAACCAAAAAGGAAAACATGAAAAAATACTTTTTTTAAAAAACTACAAAGGTAAAGCTCATGTACCTGGATGCGACAATTTTTTTCATTCTACCAGAATCTAGACTTGAAAGAATAATAACATGTTTCTTTCCAATGCTTGACACAAAATCTGCCAAATTCTTTGCAAACTCAACCATCATTCCCTGACATTGAATGGTAATATTAATCTCAAGATAAGAAAGTCAAATATCATAATAAGAAAACAGATAATGCAACAACGGATGTCACGATGTGCACCAGGTGCATCTCAGCTTCTGTAGTTATAGAAATAAATTTTCACTAATGCAACTCTAAGAAATGTTGGACCTATTGTGCAGATTAAAGCTACGATAAAATCAGATACCAATTCGAACTTATAATGGAAGTATACATTATCTTTTCAGCTTTGCTGTGTAAAAACTACCACAGGACCTTCTATCTATTACATTATTGTTAGATACCAGAACTTGGTCTTGCAAATTGCTATTGTTGACCATATAAGGGCAGCTACCAGAAAATAGTGAATAAGATACACAGAAAATGAACTTGAAGGTGATTGAAAGAGCTTAACATGATACCAACAGGCATGTGTGCTGGTTGAAGTTGCACTCAAACATTGGTCAAATACAGGAGCAAAAAATTCTCACATACCGGAAGTAGCATAGCAAAGATTGCTCATAGAACGGGCAGCACAGAAAAACTTCAAGATCCAATTACGTTGTGTACAATTCACAAGAACTACAAATAACAAGTAACATATATTTATATATAATTCAAAAAGCCCTCCCTCCAACCTATTGACAATCTTTTTCCTGTAAGTACTTCATAAACGAAACAAGATAAAAAATAAAGTTCCTATCCAATAATTTTTCTTATAGAAAAAAGGTGAAAGACAAACTTGTGATGAAAACTTCCTGGAAGCACTTTACTACAGGCCCAGATCAGTTAATGCTTGATATGCTTATACCGAAAGCTTCTCCCTACTACTAATGCTTAGTATGTTCCTTTGGTTTTCTAAAAAGAGATTTCATGTGCATCAGTTTAGGGCTGCTACTTCTTGAAAATGGATATCACACAATATGCACATTATTGATTCCAAAAGGATGACATCTACAAACTAAGTCTTCTCTGTGAACAACCCTTGAATGGTTCTATGTCCGAGGTACTTACTTTGAATGCATTATTGTACTTTTAAGTGTCATATGATCTGAGATTACACTTCACCTGAGATCATATCTAATCCTTCGTTGACCATTAAGATCTTATTTTAAGGAAAATAAGCTAACTGATACTCAGATTGATTGTGCAAGAACAGTTTGATCCACTGGTATGTATATTTTCATGAATGACCAGAAAATTGACTAATTGTCATGCACATTAATGGAGTGCAATTGCAATGAAGATTGAAAAATAAGCCAGGCTCACCTTGATAACTGGAGACCTTTGCTGGATAAGAGTTAATGCATGTGGAGGAGATTCGTAAGCTGCAATTGCAAACACCTTAAAATGATTATTATTACACAGCTTGAACAAATAATTAAAGAAAGTATATCAGCATGAGCTACAAACTAAGTGGGCACTGACTGTCAGTGATGACAATTTTAATCTAACCAAAACACTAATACATGTCTATTGTGACATCATATATTTGGTATAAACTTTAGGAAATGATGTTACCCAACTATCACCTTAATGGTTCCTTCAGACCAAACCTAGCGATATACGGGCACATTGTCGTCGAACATATCTGTGACTGACTTTCTTTCTGGCTAGTGGTAAAACTACCAGCTGACATGCGAAAACAAAAAAGAAAAAAAGGGAAGGCCAGAGCAACCGTTTAACTCTACCATAAGACAAGTAGACAGCATCTAGAGCTTCAGAATGTATAAATATAGATAGGCAAAGCTTCACAGTTAATACAATGTAAAAGAGTATGCCAGTGCCTCAACCATTAAATGAGCGCAATGCATAATGCATTTCCACAAACACCTAGCCGACAACATAAAAGGAGAAGACTTGATGACAAAAATACGAAGCTGGGAGCAAGGAAATTACCCTCGAGGGGCAGCGCAAGGACGCCCTCAGGCTCCGGACCGTAAGCATCATTTCCGACGCAAGGGAGCAGGGAAGGCTCATCCAAAAACCCAACTCTTTTGGCCCCGGTCGACGAGATCAGGAGATCGACCGCCAACTGCCCGACGTTGCCGATCGACAGCCCTGGCTACCGAATCACAGCACGATCCAACATAAATTGAGGCAATGAAGCCCAAAAGACAACAACGAAGAAGAATGAAACAAAGAGGAAGAGGAGGAGGGCGGTTTATGATGCGAACCAGAAGAATCGAGGGGCAGTCGGCGGACAGGTTTCGTCCTTCCTCGAGGGTGAACTCCATGGAGGGAGGAGGACGCACTCGCTCTCGATCGGGTGCTTCGATGCTTTCCGCTCTCTGTTTCTTGCGTGCGTGACAAGGAGGTTGTAACCGCTTTTATACAGCGTTTGCAAGAAAATTGTGCTGCACGCAAGAAAATAAATATACATATCACAAAATTGATATGAACTATTCATTAATAAAATTAATTACATATTTTTAAATAAAAATATTATCTATTTAGTAATTTAATAAAATAAAATTTAATTAACTTCTTCAACATTCCCGATATCTTCGACTAATGATATGACACGCTTCTTGATTACTTTTGAACACATCGAAGTAACTACGAATAAGATTATATATAATCTTGTTATAATATGTATGTATGTATGTATAAAATATTATAAAAAGAGTAACAACCTAATTATTAGAAGACTAACAAGGTTTTTGGTTGATGGTGGTTGCAGCTACTCTAGGGAGATTGATGTTCATTTAATGCCAAGAAAGCAATCTCCTTGCCGGTGATGTAAATGGACAAAATGTCTTTGAAGAGATCGATCATAAAGTCAAAAGTCTAATAATAACTTGTTTCATAAAACATGACCTTTAACAAAAGTCTCAGAGTTGCATGTGGCATAGGAAAGGCCATGTCTCATCATGGACAATAAATATATATAGTGGATTTTGCATTAAAGCTACTGCTCCACACCCTATTTGGTCGCACATTAATTTGCTAATAACCTCGTAGCAATCATTTTATATTCAGGTTGCTGCATTTTGTTGCTAATAATCCCTATTATATATCCCAGAGAATTCCCAAACATCAAAAAGTACTCGATAGAATTCAAATGTTATAATTACATTTCACAGTGTGTAGCCCAATGGGTACAGTAATTACTCCACAAAACAGTACTCGCAACAAATATGAGGTCACTGTGCCTTTGATTGGAGGGGCCAACAGCGTTGAATGGTCTATCAACTGCTGAATGGATTAACAACGAGACTCATGAACGGACAGTGATATCAACAGCTCCAATCGAATCGCTTTGTACCACTAACTCTAATCATCCGCAGACGGTATCCGATTGGAGCTGCGCCTCATAAGTACTGAGGGGAGGGGCGGGGGGTTGAATCAGACGTTGACATGACCAAATCATATTTGGTTGACACCGGCACTCGATTTAACTGTTGAAGACGACGTGTGCTCGCCATTTTGTCTCCGCTGCCAAAAATGATCTCCTTTGAAGGAGCGTTCATGGCGGCCCCGTGATTCCACGTCTTATCAATCCACGTCAGCCATCGATTTGCGTTGGGTCGGCGTCCTCATTAAATACCTGCTGATTCATATGGGTCCCACCTCCAACCCGACGCTTTTCATATTGACATACATATATGTTCAGATTTTTTGGATTTTTAATCAGGTGTAGAATAACATGCAATTCATATATATATGTATATATGAATGCAAACAAATAAGCTCCTTTTCTTAACAAAAGGATGCTTACCATAGAACAATCACCGTATACTGCTTTCCTTAACATATCTTATCTCCAACAATATGCACACTGATGTATAAAAAAGAAGAAAAGAAACAGAGAAAAACGTGTTCTTTTGCTTTGCGTTGTGGAGGACGGGCTCAGTTAGGATGTACAAACCAAGCAGGCTAAATCTTCACGTGTGCTCACGCGGCAGCCCGCGTGCTCGATCGCTCGTGGGCGCCCCGGCTCCGCCACCCCCGGCACGCAGAGGCGACCGTCCCAGCTTTCCGTCGCGGGTCTCCGCCTCCGCCAGTCCACGCACCGGCGTCGCCCCCGCCGTGGCCTCCCGCTCCAACACCCGCCACACCTTGACCGACTTGTCCAGGCTCCCGCTGTACACCACGTACCGCGGTCCCCCGGGAAAAGCGATGACCGCCCCGCCCTGGCTGTCGTCCTCCTCCTCCACCGCCAAACACTTGATGGGCCCCTGGTGCCCCGCGAGCACCGCCAGCTTCGTGTGGTCCCAGCCGTCGCCGCCCGTCGCCTCCCTTCGCCAGACGCACAGGGTCTTGTCCGCGGACCCGCTGACCACAAGTCTCCCGGCCGCCGCGAGGCACAGCACCGCCATCCGGTGCCCGCGGAGCTTCCCGCCGTGCTCCAGCTGCCGCCACCATCCTTGCCAGCGCCAGTAGTTCACCGTCCCGTCCGACGAACCACAGTACACCACTCCGGCCGCCTCCGACATTGCCACCGACGTAACCGCGCTCTCCTGCCGCAGCAGCATCTGCACTAGGACGTGCCTGGTGGCGCCTCCTTTCCCCGCCGCTTCCCTCCGCCACACCTTCGCCGTCCCATCCGCCGATCCCGTGAACAGCAACCCGCCGAACCCGGTCGCCACCGCGTTGACAGCGTCGTCGTGCGCCTTGATGGATTCGAGACACTTGGAGTCCGATATCCTCCACACCTTCACCGTCTTATCCCAAGATCCGGAGTACAGTATCCCGGCTTCTTCGTCGAGGCTGAGACAAGAAACCGCATCGAAATGCCGAAGCCACACGACGTTGCGGTGACGTCGCACCTCGACATAGTTGGACGGGTTGATGGAGCTCTTCAGCAAGTCCTTGAGCCTAGGGAGCGTCCCCACTCGCCTGTGGACGGCCGGATTCTTCGAGGAGGTCTTCCAGATGCGAATCTTGCCGTCCTGGTGGCCGGTGAAGATCCTGTCTCCGGCGACGACGATAGCCTTGACGAGGCCGCTGCTGGACTTGAACCCGGACAACTCGCGGCGGCCCTTCCAGACGCGGATGTTCCTGCTGTCGGAGCCGGTGTAGAGGATGTCCCCGGCGGAAGCGAGGGAGTAGACGTGCCCCTCCTCGCGAACGAGCGACCCGACCAGACCGGTAGCGGAGGGGTCGGCGGCCTCGTCGGAGAGGAGGGGGAGGTAAGCCCAGGGGGACTTGGCGAGGGGCGAGACAGCCACGGGGTTCCAGGGAGACAGAAAATAAGGGGAAGCCCCGGTGCTGGTCGGATTGCGATCGGAGTAATAGCCAGGGCTAGCGGTGGTGGAGAGGGCAATGCTGCCGCTGTCGGTGGGGAGCTCGTCCTCGGACTGGATCATGGTGTCGGTGTGGAAGAAGAGATCAAACAGTTTGGAACCGCGCGGCGGGCTTCCCGTGCTTACCTTCCGATCTCTCATGCTCGACACAATGTATGAACTCCAAAGGCTGTCGTTGTTGTCTGGGATAAAAGAAGAGGAAGTTTCGGTGCGAAGAAAGCCGAAAGTTTTCGAGCCACAGAAGGAAAGAGATCGGAGCGAGCCAACTAAAGCTCGATCGCGGTGGCCAGGCCGCGTATAAATACGAAAAGAGAAGCCACGAGGCCAAGCCACGTGGACGAAGAAGACTTCAACCGCACGTAAGGCGTTCGGCCGCGGTGTGGAGAGGAACCGGTTGTTGGACGGCTATCGCGGCGATAGTCGTCAACCGTAGCAGAGGATCTCATGTCATCTGCAAGTCACGAAACACATACTCTCTCTATAAACTAGGAGGACACGTACCAAATTGGCAGCTGGCCCACCAAGTGTATACTGTGGATCGCCTGTCGTTCCCTGTCCTCTTTCAGACAGCCGTGACGCGTCGACAGCCCTTTGACCGGTGAGAGAAAACGTGTTAGGCTTCTATGGGTTTGACGGCTTTAAGGGTCCGACGACAGGTGTTTAGATCACAAGGCTTAGCGTTTGCTGATTTGGTCATAAAGCAAAAGAAACAAATAGAGATCAAAGTAGCATTTTGGAAGAGGATATTGACACGGATTAACCTATTGACTACATACGTGTGCATCCATCTCCAGTATAGTCTCTCCAACCAGATGCAAGATGAGCATGAGTTGAGAAATGGAGACTAATTGCAATTGACATGCAACGCGAATGGAGGAGGTGCAATAGTGGGGCTGCTACGGCACTTGTCCCCATCTTGGGGCCCACTGTCTCATCTGTTTCAAGACAGACACCAAAGATAATTCACAGCCAATTAATGATCTAACCTAAAATCTATTTTATTTCCACGGAAAAATGGGCACAACAAATACAATGAGTGAACACCGAATACATGATTGTGATTGAGATATGGAATCGGATCCGTATATCTCTATGCCTCACTGTGTGCATGTGGTAGGTTTCTGTGGAGCCAGTGAGCCGCCACGTAACGTTATATGTACTGCATACTGCTATATACAATTTGCATTGCAGCGCCACGTACTGGCTCGGTAGGTCGTAACAGTTCCTCCTGAACGTGACACTGATGCATGGCCCGATCGCTGCGCTAATAGCTACGTGATGCTGATGCTTTGTCTTCGAATGTTGGGATCGAATTGGAGTGCATGAAAGCTCCATTTACCTCCCTTTTATGATTAGATATGACTTCCTTCTAACGTGCATGTACCTTTCGTTTTTCTGATATGAAATCATAAGACGTTCTTACTCCGATTTAAGTTTACGACATAAGGTTTTGAAGTATGTTAATACATTCTCGATTAATGCGATCTCAATCTACCCATTTCTTAGTTCTTACAATTGCAGGTTTGAGAGGGAACATCATGGCCGAGACATATATGATTTATATTTCCAAAAGTCTTCTGTGATATTATTGTGTGGACTTTGGGATGATTGTGTGCGTGTTAATTATATAATATATAATGGTGGAAGACCTAACTTTTGTGGACACTTGTTTTAAATACATATGAAATCATCTGAGAGCTCTTACTTTCTTAGTTGGCTAAGTTTGCACGCATAGATTGAAGGAGTCTAAACATGAGATGATGATTCAAACAAATGAGGTGGAAAGGTGTGGTTAGGACAGCAGGTATATATCAGATTCCATAAGCAAACTCTTGTGCACACGAGAGGAGAGGCTTCGATATTTGACCTAATTGCCTGTTGCTAATCCATGATGGACATCAGGCTTACCGTTTGATGATGTCCATCGAAGGTCTCTATGTTTCTCTTCTTGGATGGAGTGTGGAAATGGCGTTTGTGTGGTTGTCATGGCAACGAGAAAAATTTCTCGTGCATATGAACATGCTCGCGAGAGAATATCTAGACCTGCTGAGAAGAGGTCAAGTACAAACATATATAGTCATTGTTAGTGAATTTTTTAATTTAATATATGTGAACACAGAAGAATTATCATATATATATATTTTCTAACGATATACGATGAGAAAGCAATCGATGTCTTAGTATCATATAATCAAACCTTAGCATCATGTGAACGACACTTTAATGTTGTGTGACCGACATCATAATATCACTTGGCTAATACCTTAGTATCATGTGATCGATACCTCAGTGTTATGCGATTAACTCCATAATACTATATGGTTGATACCATAATACTATGTGATTGATACATTAGTATAATGTGATCAGTACGTGGGTGGCATCTGGGCATCAAATCGAATTGATCGATCGCTAACATATCCCGAATATGACGACGTAATCGTGATCATGATTAAATCTAAAGAAATACATAACTCTCTCCATAATCGACATCGATCATGAGAGTAATGATACTGAATATCGAAGAGGTATTGTTAATCGGAACACTCCTGACACAGTTTCATAGGATCCGTAAGTATGATATCGATTGAAATTGACTTGAGATTAATATGTAAGAGGATTGATTGAAATTGACTTGAGATTAGAACGAAAGAGGAACCTTGATTGATTCCAAATCAGTATTCGGTTTGAACAACATCAACACCTATAAAGAGAGATTGTTTTTTTAGATCCCAACGTCGGAAGCCACTTAATTTAAACTTGGCTGAAAAACCAGGCAAGAAATTGGCATCTTCTTCGGTCTACTTTAAACTCTTTCTTTCCATTTAGCTCACAATTGAATGGTCTACATAATTATAGAACAAAGCGAATCTACATGGATTCGACCAAAGCAATACACACTTAGCTCAGCTGGGAGCAAAGCGATCCATGAGCACTATCATGCACACCGTAGCTTCGGAGAGGCTCATGCTTTTCTTCTCCCTCGATTTGACCACTGCCTTCATCTTGGTTACCTGTTCTTCTACCTCCATTCCTCCCTCTTTTCTGCTGCACTCATGGCTGCTCGACTCGCCCTCGTCGCCGGCTGCACTCCGATGCCTTCCACCGAGTCTCCAGAACCCAGTCATCCATACTCCAACAAAGCCAGACATCTCTCTCTCTCTCTCTCTCTCTCTCTCTCTCTCTCTCTCCCACAGCTGGTTTCTCCTTCTTGAATAGCACAGGGCTAAATATATACTCACACTGGTTGGGAGGTCACAGGAAGTTTCCATGGAAGCATTGCAATGGAGTCCTCTCATTAGTATTTGTCCTGAAGTGAGGAAGCTGCACGTACCATAGGATTTGCCCAAGAATATGCTGTTTGGAGAAGCTTCTACTTCTCATGTTCTTTTGTGCTGGAATAATTGTAACCATGGAATCATACAGCATATTCTTTGGATCTCAAAAATAAATTCTGGAATTCCTTTCCTTCTCTTTTGAATTTTCCTCACAATATCTTTGCATTGCTAAGTCTCTAAATTCTATGAGCAATTCAATGTATTCACGCTATTCATTTTGTTACCATTATTAACACATGCATGTTGGACCCAATACGGCCAAACGTATAGGTTACTATGCATGTATGTGTCAGAACCATGAAATAAGAGAACTTACATAAGAAAGTGAATGTTAATACACACATTGCTGGTGATCTGATCTAAGCAAAGAATACTTCAACCAAGCATCAAACCATGTAATCCTTCTAGTTTGGAAATCAGTTTTACTACTTCGTCTCTCTTCATCTGTAGCTTTGTGGTTTTCTGAAGTGATGAAGGATCAAACCACCAGCTCAAAACTCATGAACACCAAAGTCCATGTACAAGCTACTAAAACATGGCTAGATATACATGAAGAGACAGGCACTGATATATATGCATGGCCACATTAAGCTGCACCAGTGTCGGTGAGACAAGAACTGCAGCCGTTCCATTACTGAACCATGAGCGGGCAACTAGAACTGAGAGAATCTATCCTTCTGTCTCCCTGCCTCTTCCTTTCTTCAGATCACAGCATGCGATTCTGAGTGACCGAGATGGATGTCAGAACAGAGCGAACGACAGGGGACAAGAAACGCAGGTCTCGAGGATTCATACATGCTCTCGTTCCTCGCTTTGCTCGTCTGTTCTCTCTTTTTGACGGCGACCGGGATGGCCTGAGGCGAGGAAGAAGGCTGCCTTCTCCGTCGAAACTACTGCAGCAAAGTACGGCCACGGCCATGGAACTGGTGAGGCGTGCCGTGGCGTGGTGAGGCTGAGCTGACGAGTCGTTCATTTCATCCTCGCCTCCTTACGCACAGCAAACGTGATCAGTGCAGATTTCACTGTCGCACAGGCGCGACTGCTTTGGGAATGGAGTAGAATCTAACAGACCTGAAACAGTGGGTCCGAGAAGGAGGTGTGGGACCAGCATCTACTTGCTGGTGTTTTGCAAGTGTGTTGGTAAGTGAATCTGGACAAAACCTTCGGATCGAGTCATGACATCAAACAGTCGTGAAGAATAGCTTCATTCCTCAGCTTCCGAGAGTTCCAAGAGAAGACAATTGCAGCTATGCTAAACCCGTGTTCTTTTCCCAGCCATTTGTATTCTACCAAGTAATTAGATGAATGCTACATGGTGTTGGAGTTGAATCCTTGGAAACACACTATACAGCCAAGTCTTTTTCTAGTTTCACGAGACTGATGAGTGATGATAGCTTTAAGTACAAAATCTGCATCCCAATGGAATTGCAGTATCGATCTTTGGTCATAGAGTCAGAATGGATACCAAATTTATCTTAAGCATAGAGTACAGATCATCATAGAGTTATCCTAAACAGATGATCATTAGTCAGAACAGAATAGCCATCAAGAAACTGCTGCCATCTCCTCTTTTGATCATATTAATGGCACTGTGAGAGTCCAATCATGGTGAGCATGACAAGATACCCATTGTCCCCAGCTTTTACCTCCAATATCTAACCCTCATATGTGTTCAAAATTCCTCCGTTGGTGTAGGCTATAGGCATCATTGTTTCCTTGTTAGCTTTGATTAAGACCTCCACACAGTATATATAGTAAGCTTCTGCAAAGATGCGGTATGTGCGTTTCATAGTCCACAGATGTGGAAATCACAGAATGCTAGCCTCATTTCTACAGTACAATGGATATAAATCTATATAAACTCACGAGCACAGCAGTGCACCGATCAACCAAAAATTATAGATTAATATTAGCTTAATTAATTGAATCTGGCAGTCAGTCAATGGGTCACCTCAGAAATGACTCAAGAGGACAACTCCCTACATCGAGTTAGTGTTGACTGCCCGAGTTAGAATCCATTTCTTGGCCTTTCGATGAGTCGAAAACAAGCATTTGTTAGAAGCTGGCGTTGCATCCAAAACACACCTGACGAAATATTTTTGGCTGAGAGTTATAGATGATGCAGTCCATTGACTGCATGATTGAATTCAAAGAAATATAGACAAAGAAGTCGGCGTGCATTATGCTTCCTTGATATTGAAGTAAGTGATTAATGGACGACGCTACGCCATCACAGTTCCTTCCGAGGGATCCATCAATATAATTAGAGGCCCTTAGGCTGTTCCCCTGGTCATATATATCATATATTATCACAGTAGACAAGTGCAGACATATGACAGCTTCTTTATCCCTTCCTTTTTCCCTATATAATATCCCCTGCTGCTGTACTCCCCCTTCCTTTCATTCTTCATATGATATAACTCTTCAAAGGCCAACTTCTCAAACCATTCTGTTCGTTTGCTTTGTCTCCCCTCCTCCTCCTCTGCCAGGTTTGCCTGCAAGGAGTAAAGATGATCCAAGAATTGTTGGGAGGGGTGATGGAGGAAAGGAAGAACTCTTATCCAGGAGGCCTTCTGATTGATCCCTCGTCCTCTTCTCCCACCTCTCCCGTATCTTCCAAGTCGCGGTCCTCATCGTCGCCGTCTCTGTCATCGATCACCGCAGACCAGCAGCAGCAGAAGAACCTGCGGTGCCCGCGTTGTGACTCCACCAACACCAAGTTCTGCTACTACAACAACTACAACCTGACCCAGCCACGCCACTTCTGCAAGACCTGCCGCCGGTACTGGACCAAGGGTGGCGCCCTCCGCAACGTCCCCATCGGCGGTGGGTGCCGCAAGACCAGGGCGGTGGTTGCCATTGCCGCTCCCGGGATTTGTGCCAAGTCTGCAGGCGCCACCAAGACGAGGCCGGCGTCGCCCGACCTCGTCCTCAGGTCGGGTCTAGTCGGTGGACTGGAGAACGAGTTGTCGTCGACCCTGTGGCCTTCGCCACATCCTTCCCACCTCATCTCCCTCCTGAGGTCCAGCAGTCTCCAAAACCCTAACACCATCCTTCATTCTACGCCCAGCCTTCATCTTAACTCTGCTATAATTGACGAAGATAAGACTCTGCTTGGTTCACACACGGTGGCCGATCCAGGAAGCACGCCGAATTCATACAGCCCAAGCTTGGAAGCCCTGAGTCAGCTTGCTTTAGGTGCTTCACCATGGAGGAACAGCAACAACTACTCTAGCTCATACCACCACCACCACCACCATCACCAGCAGTCACAGCCACAAAATGATGACATGTTGTTGGGTGTCACTCCAAGCTCAGAGATCCAAGACCTGTACCAAAAGTTCAAGTCCTCGGCTAATTACCATAACGAGCAGCTGCAGACGGTAATGAGCAACGTCGGTAGCTTTGGTTCTTCTTGTTCCTCCACAGCTTCGTTGATGACCATGGCTGGTACACTTACTAATGCTACGGCTCCTATCATGGATCACATCCCACTCTCTGCTGGTGAATTTGGCAACTGGAATCCGGGCTTGGCATGGTCTGATCTACCCACTCTTAACGGTGCATTCCACTAGTAGGCCTCTCTTCTAGTATACGGATGTAATGTTCTTCTGTTAAAGCTTTTGTGCCGCTGTGGTGTGTTTCAGTGATGTTTAAGATGTCTTTATTTTGTGCCTTTGCGGGCTGTATTGATCATCGAGATCAATGAAGGATTAGATGTCGTTATCTTTGTTCTGTGTCCTTTTATATATACTGTGACGAAAAAAACCTAAAACACTGCACATTGTGTTCATATCGATAACACAGCTAATGTATAGAGAGGAAGAGTGGTGCATTTTAGGCTGGAGTTGTGTTGGTCTCAAGTGGGAAAAAGAAGGAAGAGAGATGATGGGATGGTGCTTGGAGATTCCTTCCCGTTGTCGTGCAGTGGGAAAGCGGAGGGCTCAAAGAGGAAGATGGCAGCCTTTGGACGGGCTGTGGCCTTAATATATACAGCAGACGAATTAGATTCTCCTCCCACCCAACACTGCATGCAGCCTTATCTTATGGGAAGAGAGAGAGAGAGAGAGAGAGAGAGAGAGATTGCGTGACAAATGCAACGATTTAGGTGAAGACAAGGCAACGCGACTGAGGGAGGAAGACGACAACAGCGGAATGAATGATGGGCGAAGTTTCGGAAAAAATTGGTTACTTTCTGTTTATTCGACATAGGGTAGAATAATTATTTTTTTAAAAAAAAATTATTATGCGAGAATTTTCGAAATTGGCACTGTTTAGGAAAAAAAAATTAAAAGTTAAAGAATTTTTTTTAAATTCGCATACGTATAAATTGGAAGCCTAAAACCAAATTGGAAGGAAACGGACGGCGATGGCGCCATTGGAAACAGAGATCACGGTGCGGCTACCCGGTGCCCTCGTTCATCCGACCTCTCGCAGACCAGAACCGACGCCCTTTTCAGAAAAGCTCAACGAGGTGAAGGCATCCATAGGAGAGCCGGTCGATTTCGTCCTCCATGGCGAGGTTAAAGACGAAGCGGACGACGACGGATGAGGAACAGACGTAGGAGGATGTAGGAGGGGAGGGCTTCCGAGATCGCGAGGAGGATGAGTGGTGTGTTGGTGGGAGCAGCAGAAGGAAAAGGGTGACAACTTCTGTCCTTTGTTTCTTCATCACAATAGGTTTTGATAGAGCAAATTGTTATGATCACGGTTAATGAGGGTTTCGAATCCGTCTCCGGAGTAAATAAATGTGGCACTTTTGGTTCACATATTAAGATCGCATCTCTCGAGTATCTTTCCAGTTATAATCGTATCTGAGAAGTGATTACTTAAACAATGTATCTTTTTTCATGGTAAGTGGGTGTTACAAGAGAGCACGGTGGAAATTTCTGTATTTATAGTCGAATATTGATTGCAGAAATATTTACCGGGGAGGAGAGTAGGGAATGTCATGTGTAAATTTGATGTAGTTATTTGAAAGTGGCTACTCATAGTGTCAAGTTTACCATAATTTGTTGACAACAGCATAACTGAGAAATATATCATCTTTTATTGTTCAGGAGTTTAGGTGATGTTGTTGCTCATCCAATACGATTGCTGGAGCCTAGATGGTAGAGGTTTAGTATCTGAACTAGGTTCCTATTTAACTTGGGGGCATTCTTGACCAGTATCTTCATTCTTGGCATTGTGTGAGGAATGAAATAGATGCTGAAGTTTAGTCGGCCTGTGCAAAACAGAAGAAATAGTCAAGGCACTTAAACAATGCATGTGCATACATCGCACTATGGCTGACCAATCTGTGACAATGATATCAATGTTGGTGAAACATTCATTTGTTCCCCAATAAATCTTGTAAAGTTTTGATCACGGTTTCTTGTAGGTTCTTGAAACTGATACTGGATCTAGTTCAAATGTCATGCACTCAGTCATACATTTTTCTGATTGTATCCATTATATCACACAACTCTGGCATAGTAAGCTGTTGCCATTTTTTCTAGCTAGCTAAAGTTCTTATTCGTGATAAGTAACATATGCCTTTCATTGCTTCCCTGATTTTTGTATTATTGAATGCAAGGTATTCATACTTATGTAAAAACCTTTTGTTTGGGCTATTTCAGTATATCTTACAAAGTTCCTTTTCTTTGTTGTACATGATTATTATTTGACATGCAATATTGCAATTGCTTTGCACATTTATTATTGAATTATGCCTGAAGAAGCTAGGAGCATGAGTAAGCCTTAGCAATCACATGATGCAAAGAAAGATAATCCCTTTTGTGAGGAAAACAATGATTGCATTTTTTTTCTCCCTCCACCATATGCAATTATCTGTGACATTTTTTACTGCATTTATGTTAAGCATGTTTGGCCCAATAAATAAAGTTTAGTCACTTCATTGCATTTATTTTAAAATTTAACTTTTTCTCCTTCCTCCAACTTTCTCCTCAGTAATGAGGGAATGAAGTTCCTCCTGGAGATCCAAGTTCATGCTAAAGATCTATTCATGCCACTTTATGATCTTAAGTAAGACTATTAGCATTATAATTCGTTTTTTTCTCATGGGTAATGATAGCATCCATCTGGCCCAAACTGATTTAGTAGCTTTCCATCTACTAACCTTTTTTAGTTGACAATTTTCCATTTTGTAAACATTACTTCTTTTTTCTTGCCACTCGAGGACGTATGCAAAGGGACATAATCTAAAAGAAGTAATAGCTCTCATGTAAGCAAGAGGGCAACTTTTGTTGAAAGGAGAAATGATGAAATTTTTTTGCAGGCCTCTCCTTTGCTGGTAGAGGTGCAACGCTTCAGTTGATGTATGATGCACTACTTCTGATTCAAAGTCTTGGATAGTTGTCTGTAATGAAATATTGTGTTGTAGATTGGAAATCAGAATGCTCTCCATGTTTTTGTCTGCTTTCATACTGCCTGTCTGGATCCTAAGTGCTGTGGATTACTCAAGAAAGTCTTTCTTGACAATTAGCTGATTACTTGGTTTTATGAAGAGGAAGTGTTTGTTTGTGCCTTTCCTTTTATATTTATGATGCAAAATGTTATGACCTGTTATAAGGTTCGTCTAGATTAAATGTTTACCTGCTGTCTGCTAGAAATTCCTTTGTAATATTGATTGTGACCAGATATAAGGATCTGTTGGATTGTCCTTAATTTTTTGATTGGTGCAGGAATTCATGTCGAGCATGCTTGAATGGATTTGCATACATAAAAAAGAACATGTTGCAAACAGGTAACATGCTTCTGCATTTATTGTACTCTTTTAATTTCGAGTCTGGCTGGCGTTCATGCATGTAGTGCTAGTATTTGTTACGTTGTCAATGCTGACACAATTGTCAAAACATTGTCTAGGAAATTTATATAAGTTCTGCAACTTTGTTTTGAACTTTCCCATTCAGAAACTAAAGGGGATGAAAGACCACCATTGCAACCTTAATGTTGAACACTGTTGTCATCTTTTTGGGCTCGTATCACTTCAGGCTTTCCAGCACTGGATATGATTCTACCATCTATGCTCATCAAACCTTCAAGAAGTTGATTAAGCTTAATGCCAAATTCTCCTCACATTTTATCATGTGGTATCTCCAGTCTCCACCAACTCTTTTGACAATCCAATTGAAATCTCTCTAGACGTTCAGCGATAAAGGTATCTGATACTTACGTGATTCAAATAGCATTTGGTCCTTTACATCTTATCTATAGATTCTCACTGACTTTGGTGATTGGGCCATTTGCTTATGATCACATGATAGTGCCAGACCATGAAATGTATCTTTTGCCCCTGAACTTAACCTGAGGTAAAATTATTGTTGCCACTATTTATATCCTTTCATTTGAAATGAAATTAATCTTAGTTCACACTGACCAAGTTGCCGATGTTGCATTTAATTGATTCTTGCAGCTTGATAATAGAATGGTTTGACAGGGAAGGGGACATGCAGATTCCATTCCACGTGAAGTGGGTCCTCGGTGGAATCAGCAAGTGTTTGATTAAGATGGATGAGTCTCAAATCCTTAGGTATGACTCACGTGTCTAGACTCAAAACAGGGTTCAACAAGAATCTCATCACTGCTAATCCCTTGTTAACTCCATATGTGAGGAAAATTTCAAACCCTTATCCCAATCAAGAAAGGTGTGGTGTGCCTCACAACAAACAAAAGGACATGAGTGCTGTTTCGGTTGGATTCATGAGCATGAGTGTTGGAGTTGATCCATTGCCCCATGTGAATCCTACGATATATTATGGACAGAAGATTGATCTCAGATATCGTACATCCAACTTATATGTGCTAAATAGCCTCCAAAAGAGACAGATAGGTCTGTACTATATAGGAATAACTTCTTAAGGACCCTATCAAGTTTCACTAGCTGCCATGTATCACTCTGCTGCATATTTCTTGTAATCAGAATTCCATATTATGATTATACCCATCCAGTTACATGTAAATCCAATGATTTGATGTGATTTTTGTCAACCACCAAGTATGAATGTGGAGAAGCTCGTTTTTACTTTCACATGAGAGATTAGCTTTTTCCATAATAATTCCGCTCTTCATCTTGTAATTTTGTTTCCAATAATATTTTTAAATGATTTGTTCAGAATAATGTAACATATAGCCAGTTTGATTAATCTTTATATACTTATACACCGGGGTAAACAAAAGAACTAGTTGGAGAACATGCTAATGATAAAGACAGAAATTCTAGAAAAAGAAAAGACATTTATCATGGGCAATGATCAGGTTGAGATGGAGCGTGGGAAGATGCTGAGAACCACCAACGAGTCAAAAGAAGTGCTGCACTGTGGATAAGGTTGAGTCTCTGGGTCCTCTCACAACTGATTGATCTTTGGCTTTCTCCAAAAGCCAAACAATGCTTCAAAAGTCATACACTAACTCCACTGTCATATAGGTTATCTTTGTTATGCAGGAATCAAGTGCAGGAGCCAGGTTTGGCCCCATCTTTCCTATAGTTTGACATCTCACACAGGCTACTGAATGTTGACTAGTATATGTGTGTCTATTATATGTTTTAATGAGAATAATAGACTCTTTTTTGTCAGTCCTCTGGTATGTGCATCTAAACTGTACTAATGCATTTTATTAGGCCAGTTGGTTCTAACATGGCAATCTACCAACCAGAGCCAGGCATTGGGCTGGTGGTTGATTCCCCTTCTTCCCTATAGGAAGACCTGAGTAATACTTTTGCTTGAGACTGCATATAGGACTGCTTGGTTAGGTGATAAAGATGACAGAGATATGCACAACAAATGCATAAGAAGTGTCCACATAAAGTGCTATCTGTTATTTTCCATGATTTTGAAGTGGAAAGTATGCTTTTCTGTAGTTGAGTTAATATGCCATTTTTCTTCCATACAAGTGTCAAAAACCCAATGAAGAATGGGACTGTTTCTTAGTGCATTTCTATGAGCATATATTCTATGTTTATCCATCATTATTGTGCTTAGCAAATTAACTTTTGAACCTGGAACTACTGCACTTTGTTCAAGAATGAGTTTATTTCCTGAACAACAATGGAAAGTCTTCAATTTACTGATTGATCATCCTCAGTCATCTTTGGTTGGTTACAGAAGGATGCTGATGAATGAATTTGTCGGAAGCGGTGTTACTGCTGAGAACTATGGACAGAGGTGGTAAACAGTGGAAGAGGATAAATATGCCTGTGGCACTAATAGATCTGTGGCTGACCAAGAGTGATGTTGACCATGGAGGAAAGTGATCCCGAGCTTGCAGAGCAAGTCTCAACATGTCCATTAACATGACAAAGGTGCATTCGCAATGTTTTCTAACTTGTTATGTTTCTTGTTCTCTTTCCTTTTGTTAATTTTCCAGACAGGAATAAATAAAAGCAAACTTTCCATTTGTATCTGCCTCTTTTTGTGGATCAAAGAAGTCTTAAAGTTCCAAAGGTAGATTACTAAGCTATGATAGCCTCGGATGTTCTGCTCCTTTAGTAAGTTTCCTTTTCTAGTATTAATATAGCAGTAATGTTATTATTCTGCATTAACATTTTACTCAATCTTACAATGAAAGGAAACACTTTTTATTATAATGTACATACATACAATCATAAAGTCCATGTGCTGATATCCAATTCATAAAGCTAGGATATACTTTGACAGTAGCCTGTGGACAAAGGTGGAGGCCCTTCTTTGTTTAGTGTTGGCATAGTAGGATGGTTAGATTCCTTAACCTACATCTGAGTCCCTTGCTTGCCTTAGAATCTAATGGTCTCAACAATGATTAAAATGTCCTTAATGCTATGGAATTCCTCTGGTTGGAAGACAGCCACCTCATACTCAACTAGACCACACTTTAAGCATGTCCTTATCTTCTTGGGCAGCTTTAATATTCTCCTTTAGATGAGGGGAACCACAACAGAGAATCCAGGCAATTGATGGAATGACACAACCTTTCCTTCAACCATCATCTATATCCTGTAGATGAGGAGACAAGTGAAATGGAAACCTCTCCTCTCTATGTCACATCATGGACCTTGTAACAGTTCTTCTTGTGTTTATTCAGTCACCAGAAATACTATGATTCACCCAAAATAAGGGAAGCTAGAGAAATATCATTTCTGTCCATCTTTCTCAAGCGTGGGTTTGTTTTTTATTCTTAGGGTCATAACAATTTCATCTACTTGAATCAAAATGTGTTCATCACCTAATAGTTTTGGTTGGGTGTCAAGGGAATAATATAATGGAGGCAAGAATTTACACAATAACATCCAAAAATGTTGTGCAAATAATTTGTTAATACACATTTTTTGTTTTTGGCATTGTACACGTGGTTAATCTAAACTAAATACTTGTAATAGATATAGCTTCTGTTAAAATTCATATATGGTTCAGGCATTAAAATTATGAGAACACGAGCGATTAGATCTTGTTGTCATCACAAATTTTAATTGTTATCAAGATTCTAAAGATCATCTAACATTTAATATAATTTTTTTTTCGTGTGTAAGTTGCCATCTCCTACAAATATGAAATTGATACGAAAAATCATAAGAACATATTTTTAGTTGTTGATCCAATGAATGTTACAAATGAACACAACCAAAATATTCTTTTTTGTGATTTCGACAAATAGTGATGTCACTAAATGAACCTTTTGTATTTTTTTTTTCTTTTTGTGTCTAACAAAAAGACTTGTTATGTTGTCACATTACTATGACATATTTTGTTTAGAATTTATTGGTACAAATGAACTCATGCACTTGTTATGTTGTCTCCCACCCTTTCAAACATGTAATGATTCTTATCCTTGACGTGACTCATCTCATAGTCATGTTTCAACGGCTTCACATCCATTAGGAATCTACACCATATCAAGTGTTTCTTTCTGAGTCAAATTTCTTTACCTCACAAGGAGGGTGTTCATTCAAGCTATCATCCTTAAAGTTTATAGCCAAATTATGTAAGAGTTGTATTGATTAGTTTCCTTTTAAATTATTTTCATGCACTTACGGAGGAAATAACACCGATTACTTTTCATGATTCATGATATCTTGATCTTTGTACAACGACAGGTGGTCACTCATTCATGTCTCCTACTTCACTAAAAAAGATGGAAGCACTTGCTTGCAGACTAATGGTGTGGAAATGGAGAAGATGAGGGGAGAGGCTGAGCTGTTCTTGGACAGCACAATGTCCACTCTCTCCTGTTCATGTGGAATCTGAATCCAACCTATCAATCAAAGTCAGATGAAAGATATTGTGGTCGCAAGCAAAGATAAAATGGTGGTCCAAATCAAAAGGCTTCTTCTACCTTCCATGCACAGGTTGAGCTTTGTTAGGGGTTGACCGCAAGTACCAACAGAAGAAGATAAGCCTTCACAGCATGTGCATGCACATACTATTAATGATGTTACCAAGAAATGAAGTAAAATGCAACTAATAATGTTACTAAAGATTTTGATTGGATGATCATTTGGAAAAAAAAAATTCATGATATTTATAAGCATAACATTATCTTTCATGTGCAAATCGGATTAGATACAGACTGATAATTTATTGGATTTTGATTGGATAACTACAAATATCTGTATCTTAAATTTTTTTAGATTGGCTCAATTGATTTCTCTCTACTTGAGACTATGATATTATATGGTGAAGGGATTCGATTCCAGGGGATTAGATTCTAGACTTCATTAAAGTCAGACTCGGTCCTCCACCATGGTGGAAGTCAACCCAAGTCACTGTGGAAAGTTAAAAGGAAGTGTGTGTGTGTGTCTCCCACCACTTCCGATGGAAGAGAGGCCCCTTCCGAGGACCAAAGGACACCAATCACTTGTACGAACATGTACATGGTAAGTAGTTCAGCAATAGACACCTTCTTCCTGAATCTAATCGAAATTATTGCCTTCCGTTCCTCACAAAAAGGGAAAAGAAAATGCTTCAAGTCTTCTGTTCCCTCTTGCGATGTTATATTTCTACTCTTCTGACTCATTTGACCTCAGAAAAAACCACAATTAATAATGATCAATAACAGATCCAACTAATAACATCTGATCTATACATTAGTTTGAATGATAGATGTATAAAAAAGAAAACAAAATATTTAATTCAATCGTGACTCACATGATATCACAATCAGAGGATAAAATCTCAATTAATGATTTAGTCACGTATACATCACCTTAAGGGAATATTTTATCCTTTTTCTATTGAATCCATTATAAAAAGCTTGTCGGATCATAATTATTGAGATTGTTTCACTCAAAGTTATCACTTGAAGTAATAGAGGGATCATATCCAAAATTCAATTTGATAGGTTGACACAAGGTAAGTCGCTTGGGACTCCCTTGACTACACCCAAATAACTAGGTCGGTACTAAGTCGAACGATCGAGACTCCCTCCGATTACATTCATACCGCTCGAACATAGTCGAGTTGATCTAGTCATCCATCACTGATATTTTCCATGACAAAAAGGTATTATTCTTTCTCTTACAATAAAATATTATTAAATAATATGTAATAACTGTGAATTTTTTTTTCTTGCAAAGAATAAACAAATAAAAAAGAGATTTTATTATCGACCATCAATATCTCTGCAAACTGAATTGTGTGAGGTTTTGAGTAGATTTAATGCCAGTTAAATCAAGTAATTGAGGATTTGAAGGCTACTGAATTGCTAAATCATTATTGGATTAATTATTTATGTATGACATTTTTTAAATAATTAGACATTCCATATCAACCTTTATTCATAATACCATATTAATTAATTAATTAATTAAAAAAACCCATAAAAATAATTAAAACAAACAACCTATTTAGCGGATTTCTGTTCCCACTTTCACCACCCAACCAAAATTTTTCTTTAAATAAATAAGCAAATAAAAAAATTACCAATAAATTATAGTGGATTAAGGAATTAAAATAAGAAAGAATCCAACTCGGCGAGTCGGACCGCCACGTGAAGAAGCGGCACCTCGATTCGGTGAATCGGTTTCGGTTCGCCCCCATAAATCTCTCTCGAACGCGTACGCGACGATTCGGGTCCGATGCTTGTCCGGTCTGTTTTCGCCCTCCCTCTCCCGTGAGCCGGACCACTCTCCTCTTCCTCCGCCTCTCCTCTCCTCCCCTGTGTTGTGCTGTATAAAACGGACGTCCCCCTCGCTTTCTCTGGACTATGTTCTCGTTTGCAGCCAGGCGACAGAGCGGTAGAGAGTGAGGGAAGGAGAGGGTGGGGCGCAAACGGGATCGGCGATGGCGGGGATCGGTCTGGAACTGAGGCTCTGCGCCTCGAGAACCGTCGGCGGCTTCGTCAAGCAGGCGGCGGCCGTTGTCGAGACCACCGACCGCGGAGTGGCGAAGTTGGAGGAGTCCGTCAGGAGCTTGGAGGAGGAGAGGAGAAAGATCGATGCTTTCAAGCGCGAGCTCCCTCTCTGCATGCTCCTCCTCACGGACGGTACCCATCTTTCATCCGTTCTTGAGATTTTTAATGTATTTGGTGGTGAGATTTGATGTGATTTTAATGATTTTGATGCGACATTTTTCTCGGGTTGCAGTGATCGAAGGGTTGAAGAAGGAGCTTGAGCGCTGCCGGGGCCAGAAGTTGGCGAATGCCTTCGAAGAATTCATACCCATTAGGAGAAAGTGCGAAGAGGAGGCTGGGGTGAAGCTGGAAGCGGATTACGAGGACAAGAAGAATTGGATGAGTTCTGCTCAGCTGTGGGGCGTTAATTCTAGCGAAAACAACGATGAGGATGACAAGAGCATCACGGACGAGGTATAAAGGAGGAATTTTGAATGTTGTTTTCCTGGATTGTAATGGCTTTGATGAATTCTTTCCCTTTAATTGACCATTTGGTACGGTTGCAGAGAAATGGAAGACCGGATTGCGATGCGGGGAAGGAAAGCTTGAACTTAGAATCCAAGAATCGTAGTGCCGGGGGCGCATTCGTGCAGTTTAAGGGCATATCAGCCCTTGCGATGAAACCAAAGGAAGAGGTAAAGCCACTGCCTGATCTCTCCCTGCGGTCACCTGCGGTCAAGAGCAACTCTTGCCCTGTTTCTGCCGTCACCGAGCACCAGGCTGGTGGTGGCTCGGGCTCTAAAGGCGTTGTTAGAGCGCCGCCGGCGATGATCGGTGCCCACCTTAGCTTGCAGGTGCTGCAGCAGGCACCGAGGAAAGCGAGGAGGTGCTGGTCGCCAGAGCTGCACCGCCGGTTTGTCCTCGCTCTCCATCAGCTGGGTGGTGTTCGAGGTTAGCTTGGTTTCACATGTTTCTCGTACATGTTCGATAACATAGAGAAAAAAAGCTTCCTTTTCTTCATCAGCAATGGACTCTTCGAAGTTTTTGGTTTGCCTGTCGTAGGTGGAGGAGGCAAATGGAAACAGAAATCTGAGATAGACTATGTATTTGTATTGTGATATTGTGATACTTCTATCTGAACAAAGCTTTTCTTTTTGGTAAACTGCGTTGGTATCAGAAATCTCTTGTAATTCTCTTTGAACTGCACTTGTTCTTCGTGCGATGGATAGTCTGATTGTAATTGATGTTGATGCAGTGGCTACTCCAAAGCAGATCAGAGAACTGATGAAGGTGGATGGTCTTACCAATGATGAAGTCAAAAGCCATATGCAGGTGGCTTCTAAATTCCACATCCATGGCCTCTCATGGCTTAAGAATTCTCAATTCTTTACCACTTCATCCCTGCTTGGACTGCATTGACATTGTGTTCTTGTTCTCTCTTCCAGAAATATCGGTTGCACTCTCGAAAGTTGCCGAATGCTTCAGCTTCTTTTAGTCGACCTCCTATGGTTTTAGGAGGCTTGTGGGTTCCTCCAGAGAACCATACAGTTTCACCACAACAGAGTGATTCCCAGTCTGGCTCTCGTCAGAGTTCTCTTCGATTAGCTGGTTGCGACGGCACAATCTCTGCCGCTGCTGGGGATAGCTGTGAGGAAGAAGGGAAGTCGGAGAGCTGCAACGGGAGATGAGGAACATTTGCTGCTGAACATAGTTAACAAGTATATGAAGAGAGATCCTTGGGAGTATTGTGAAGAGACTGATATATTACTTCCAATGCATAGAGATAAGGAGAGCTTTGTGGATACAATGCCTGGCATGACCGAGCCTGAGCGTGTAGCATAAGAGGGGTTGCTTTTGCTGAGTAGAGAAGTCATAGATCTCCTCACATGAGATTTTAGGCAGCATTCAAGTTCCCCACCATTAGTCATCAATTTTCCTTGAGTTTTGGTGTTTCGATAAACTGAAGCTTGCTTTCGACAATGTTGCATTTTCCCTGGAATAATAAGTTGTGCCGGTTTTCGACATGATTGGTCTTGAATTTGTTTGCCAAGGTTTCTGTGGGTGTAATCTTATTTGTTGCTTGCTTCATAATATCCTTTTCGGCGCTCGGTTTTTTTATCTGATTTCATAGCCTAGCATGAGATTAGTAGTTAGTTCTCAGGTAGAAATCCAAAAGTTTGTGTATGAACTGCTCTTATTCTTGTTCCTAAGCACTCCTGTGCCCAAACCCAGTTCTGAAGTCCTTTTGCTTTCTAATAATATCTTTCTGTGTTCTTGCTTCTCAGTGATATCAGATTATTTGTACCATCTCTTTGTTGTCTTCTTTTATTGTCTTGATTTCTTGATCACTTGGAATGAGCTTTCTCCACAATCATTGATGCAGCAGTTAGCAGAGCAAAGGCATCGTTTCACTGGTTCTATTAGTCTCAATGAATCCATATGAACTCAGATGATACCTTCGATCCAATCCCTCGTCTGGCATATGATCTGCTGCACCTTCTTGCTTTGTGTGCTGGAAGCAGCAAAATGGCTGTATCTTGTCAGCAGCACCAGCAATCCAACCTTTTTCTCTGACAAGTCTAAAACTTTGCTGGCTGCTTTTGATTTCAAGGTAATTCCTGCTTTGCTATGTCCATTAGTAGGGCCATCTATTGCATCAAGGCTTGCATGCGGCAGGCAACTGCCTGCCTGGGAAATGGATTCTACTCGCTGCGTCCTGGTAGAATGCCCACCCACTGTAGAACGATGTCCCTCTTGAGACTCTTCCACATTGCTTCGTTGAGCCTTTGTCTACCACTCGTAAACAACCCCTGTAGGCATCTCTTTGGGAGTTATTATTATTATTATAACCTTGTTTACATTAACCCATGTCACATTCCCTATGTCAAAGGACATTAATAGGACAAAAATGTACATCTCACTGAGGACATATAAAGATTCGAATCACTTGTCTTCGATTTGGTGACCCCACAACAATAGTATAATCCCTAGATATGAGCTGTTAGATAAGTCATAAGAATCTCTAGTGTTTGTTCTTGGATCATATTTATCACCTCTATGATTGATGGGCCTACTTCAGATATGATCTCCACAAGTATGGTTAAAAGTAGGATCAAACAGTTGTTTTATCGAGTATTTATCCAATAATATTTTGATTCCATGATGGATGTGACTATGTCCTCATTCAGAAGCCATTATATAAAAATATTGCTATAGAACATGATTTCAGTGTCCAGTTAAAACATCTATGTTATGCGAGTCATCGATCACACGTTTTAGATAACAATTCATAGAATTGTTCTCTCAAAATAATGACTCTTAGAGCTAAGATCATTACTGCTGTTGGTTATAGTAGATTCTCTTGTTTTCTGATGGATCAACACACTAAATTTACAATCAGATCATGTTTCAGACCATGCCACCCACCAATTCGATGCAAGAATATTAATCATGAACAAGTGAAACAAGCATATTTACATGTACAATCAAACTAAAGTTGCAAGCGTCAAACACACAACTCATCCTTGCCTCATCTCATTGCAGCTATACAAACACTATATCAGATACAAGTGATTTAAGAGTGCCAAGAGTCGCAAGACTTTTCTTTATCTTGCTTTGCCTTGTAGAACAAGAATCTTGGTTTTTCTACTCTAGTTGTAGTTTGGAACGATGAAATGCAAGCAGTTGAATCACAAAAGAGATTGAATTAGTGAGTGAGCACTTTCTAACTGGTGCCTTCCATCTTTGTTGATGTGATGGTCTCTGAGATCCTGCTCTATCCACTGGTAGATCTTCTGCAAGGAACAAGACGTTAGTTCAAGTTCTTCCAAGGGAGCAGATTCATTTCCTAACATTTTCATGCATGTAAAATGGACCAGGCCGAAAACCAAGCTGAAGTCTGCCCTTTTTAATGCAACCTCCAGACCTGCCAATATGACAACACCGACAGCGTCCAATATTCTTGGGCTTCCCTTATTTAGCAGGATGAGTAGCATCTCTATAAGATTTTCAAAAGCAGAAGTTGGCAGTTTGGGGGTTTGATCGTCATCATATTGGCTGAGATCACCATCTCTGTGTAACTCAATCTTGCCCAGAACAGAAAGCCACACTGGAAATTTAGCCTCAACGAGATCAGCTAACTCCAAATTGCTCTCTTTCTCTGACATCATCAATTGGTTGCAGCCCAACCCCAATATGAGAGTAGGCAACCATGACTTGGCAACAGAGACTACATTCGAAGCATGTCGACTACCAACATACATTTCAACAGAGGTAATTAGATCTAGAAGATCATTTGCAAGATAGAAGGCTTCCGGCGATGGTGCTGAAGACTCATTAGAGCACTTCAGGACCAAATGCAGTAGCTTGGCTGCATATGAAAATGAACTTTTCAAGTATGTGATGATATCCTTAAAACTTTCATCCTGCTTATCCTTCAAAACCTCTTCCTGGTTAGATGACTTTTGGTGTTGATGTCTTTTTAAAACTGAGACTATATGTCGAATGTGATCTGATGCAAACTTTAGGTACCTTCTATGGTTTTGGTTGGTATGTCTTATTGTTTCAGCATCAACAACAAATTTCATAATTGCCATGTGCAACTTCACCATATTCTCTATCCTTTTGACTTCAAAAGAAGCCACTTGATCACCTGAAAATAAAAACAAGGTTATATGACTTAATTGTACAAATAAGATGTCTACAGTAGCATTCAGGTAGCTCTTATGAATGACTCAGTGATCATTATATTAATGACGAGTTTAAAAAGTGAGTTTGCAGGACTTGGTCAGTCAATAGCCATATTGTTATCTGCTTAAAGGAACAAAGCAATATGACCAGTTTTAGGTAATGTTAATCTTATTTGCCAAAATGATTTGCAGATTCAATTCTAACTACCTTCAGTTGAATTTGGGATGCCTTCCTGAGCCTCTTTACGCTTGGATTTCCGACGCTGTGAAGTCTCAACTCCATACTTAGAATTTTGATTAGGTTTTCCAGAAGCATGTTCTGAGAAGATTTTATCAGCACAATTGACTATGTGATCCAATGCATGATCTAGAGTTTCCTGTTTACAAATAAAATCAATATGAAACATAACGGTAAGTAAACTAACTACTAATTTCTGATTGCGAATGTGTAGCTTTAAAGTTTAAAGTAAAACATTATACTCCATAAGTGTTTCAGAACCTTCAAAAAATGTAGAAGCCTTCCAAAAATGTCCCTTTTTGCAGCTAATGTTGGATCAGATATTGGACATGGTCATAGTTGACTTCCTATCATGAAAAGGGAGGTCATTTGAGGCAACCTAGATGATTTAGAAGCACATATGCCAAGTTTAAATCTCTATATATGTTATCTCCTACTGGTCATCGTTAGCAATTTTGGATCAATAAATCATTTCATGAAGGCTGCTTAACTTTCATGATATACATCATAGCTATACAACTACTCAATTACCACCACATTGTATTGAATAAAACCATGGATTCGATTACAAAAACAATACAAAAACCTCAATATCAGAGTCACAACTCTGTAGACCCAAATCCACATTCTGAATTTCCTGCACAAAATATTCCATCAACACCAACCTCTCTACATAAACCTCAAACCTTATTCCAACATGTGCCATCAAGTAATCCAGCACAATTTTCAAAAGAAAATGAAAAAAAAAAAAAAAAAAAAAAACAGAGAGAAGTGCAAACTTTTTCATTAGAACCAGCATCAAAAACTAAGAGGACCAGAAATGGCCATTTCTGCATCTTCATAGCCAGACCATCCATGGATATGAAGAAATCATGCATCTTTAAAGGAAGAGTATTTACTCAATTTTTGAAGATACTAGTGCAACTGATCTAACAAACTGTAACATCTTTAAGAATTCTTGTAGGTAATATCAAACCACATTTAAATTTGCACCTACATCATTTGTTACAAGTTTTTCTGCAGAACTGAATATTATTTACAGATAAAGTTCAGATAGGCTGTTTGTTCAATCTGAATGCAATAACAGAACCCAAACACAATTCAGTTATGGATATTAACCTAGCAACATGAAAGAATGGCTTAAAATAGTATTTGCTAACTAATTTATGTAACTTAGCTACAAATTATTGCCTATCAACCTCTTCATATACAAAAATTAAGGTAAATTTTGATGTCGCCTTTTTTCATACTTTGGTGACTGTTTATAGATGAATAATCATCTATTGTGCCCATAATTTACCACCAGAAGGAAGAGAATCATGAAATGCCCAGTACACTCTTTAAGGCAATATATATAGATCATAACTGTGAAAATTTTTCACATATTTTCACATGAAAAATTATAGAATGGTAACTGTGTGGTCAAGTCAAATTTAAGCTATAAAATAGGTCCCTATAACAATTCTCAATTGAAAGTTTCAACAATTCATGCAAAAGTATAACTAATTTTTGTAACACGTCAAAAGAGGAAAGCTGAGAAAAGAAGCTACCTACCTCTACAGATGACCTTTTTTGATGAAAATCATTGTCCTTGACACCGCCAACATCATTAGTTGTAGTTGAGCCAACATTCTGAGAAGACATGGATATGGCAAATGTTGTGTAGGCCATGAGAGGTTCCATGTCCAACTGTTTCAACTCCATACACTGTTGAATACACACCTCAGAAATAACACCTAGTGCAGAAAATGCCATTTCTGAAATAGAAGATTTCAGTACAGCATTTCTAGTTGTTTCTGATGCAAGCAGACTTTTTACTTGCCATGCTGCTGCTGCTGCAATGGCAAAATCCTTATCATCACTAGATGTGCCAGGATCTTGTGATCTTTTTCCAGTCACTTGATCTGTTGATGAAATTTTCATGGGTAACCTAGCTTTTTTCTTTTTCGAAGTTTGCAAGATCTGCTGTGTTGATCCTAAACCAAATCTGACTCGAAAAATAGAAGCAGTATCCTGTAAGATATTTGCTAATTCTTTGAACATCTCATCAAACCAACCACATGAAAAAATCAACTTTTGTGCTGCCTTTACAACTCCTTGTCTTTCAACATTATCAGATAGCCCAGTTGAGTTTCTTATGATAACCATACAGCTATCATAAATGCCACCTAAGTTTTCTGTAGGTACAACAGAAGCGATGCTCAAGATAGCTGTCTGGGCACGCTCAGAAGTTGCTGCAGTAAGCAAATGTTTCAATTTCTTAGCCGACAGCAACTCGCTAAGAGCTCGTTTAACAGACAACTCACTCGACAAGCACTGGCATATATTGGATGAAGCAACAACCAAGCCATCAATCTGCTCCACACCTAGGCCCTTAGGTGAAAGAGCCAAAGTGACACAGACCCTGGCAAGTTCCATGAGAGACCTTGGAGATGACCCCTGTGAGAGAGCAAATTCACAAAACCTTGCCCCAGCATCAGGAGACCGTCTAATAAGGGCAAGACAGCGGCTACATGCCTCTTTAATAGCCAATTTTGATGGAAAGTAAGAAGGAATGAGCAGCTTTGTAATTTTGCTAGCAACTCGTGGATGATCATTTGCCAAGGAGGACAACAAGTCATTCAAGCTAACCACCTGATAAATGAAAAAAATACTCATGGAAAGAGCTAACTTGAACATACAACTTCCAGGAATGCATTCAAACTTGAGACGAATCAAATTAAAAGTGATAGTTGATTTTGGAAGGAAAAAAAAAACAGATAGCCACACTTTATGTACATACCTTATTAAATTGGATAGTACGTAGATCTCGAACAGCTAGGAGAAGATCAACGACAGAAACTCGAACTGAAAGCACAGGATCAGAAAACAGGGAACCCAATCTTGGAAGGAGAACTTTCATTACCTCATGACTTTGTGGATTTTGAAGCAAATAAATGATGCCATTAATGGATGACATCCTAACTTCATAGCATATGTCAATCGACATGCTATCAACAATTTTAGCTAAAAATTTTGTTATGGTTGAAGAAGGAATAATTTCCCAAAATAAATGAAGAATGCGACAAGAACCTTCAACAGCAACTGACCTTACTTCAGGACAGTCATCTAAAAGCAATTTCTCTAATAAGAAGAACTGTTTATTTAGCAAACTGTCTTTGACTTCATTTGTCGCATCTGGATCTTCAAGTGGGAATACATCCAACAGTAGATGCAATGCATTTTGGCGAACATTGGAGTTGGCAACCTGACAGATTATATACTAGCAGTAAGGAAAGAAAAAAAAGTTGCATAACATGAACAAATTTATAATTTACCAAAAAAACTGTATATTAATATAATTTATAATAATCCATTATGTAATCTACCCTTATCAGATAAAGGTTAAACATCATCATCAAATAGGGTAATCAAGGCAAAATAGTTCCAAGCACTTCTGAATTAGATCAGATTCATCTTTAGATATGCTTGATCACTTGTGTAAGAATCTCCTCTACCAAACAAAAGAAAAGTAGGATTATTTAGCAGTACAAAGGACATTTTTCTCTAAACATCTAATCCGTGACAATTGCTTGGAACAGGATCATACTAAGCATGATGCTGCAAGCGACAATTTTTTTCATTCATGTTTGTTATTCCCCAAATTACTGTTGTTCTATAGTTTTGGAAAAAAATAGAAAAATAAATGCAGAGTTTTGGAAAGGAAAACAACAATAGACTTTATGCATGGTTTTTTGATACAGGCAAAAATCTAGTGTTTTTTAAATTGCTCATATTTCAAATATGTGAAACTGATGAAGCATCTATTGAAAATGCATCAAGTACTATCATTAACATCCATCAGAGAAAAGGCTGAGCATAAAAAAAAAATCTATATCAGTCATCTTCATATATTAGTCATGAAAACCAAGATATTCATATGAATAAGAAGACATCCAGAATCATAGTTCCTTTGTAATTCAGTATATTCTTGATGCAAAATCCCATGTGTTCAATGACTTAGCAGTGACATGCCGGTCATAGTGAGTTCAATGACATAGACCTGCATGTGTTCAATGACTAAGCAGAACAAAGGACATAGTGAGTGGCATTGCACTACATGCACAATAATACTGAATTCAATAAGAACAATAGAGTAATGCAAGCACCTGCAACGACCGGAAAAGTACTGGTTCCACGAGTCGGAGGAGGAGCTTCTCAACACCAACAGTCATCCTCTGTTCGATAAACCCACCTAAGACTCTCCTTACAGAGGCAGCAAGCAGTTTGGAGCTGGCATGAATTGCTCCTTCTATCAGTCCTTGCAAGAAGCCATCCTCGATTTCTTCCCTTAAAGATTCCTCAGATCCCTTCCAAGATCTGAAAAGGATATCTGCATATGCCTCAAGCACTGACTTCCTCCCAAAAGGGATCTGAGATTTCATCAGCACCAGAGATTCCTTCATAAGCTGTCCATTCAACCCCAGCATGAAAGCTACGAACTTCCTTCCTTCGTCCATCTTCAGATACACTGGCGTGATGACGCAGCGAACAAGAAGCGTCTTCATGTCCTCGATGCTCTCATCCACATAATCAAACAACAAGAACGCCTCCCTGAGCGCGTAGACCCTTCGGACGTCGGCCTTCTTGCCCTCGGTTAACGAACTCGAGAGCAAGAACGGCAATGACTGGGAGACCAAGTTTTCCCTCCCCGGCAGATTCGCCTTCCACCATTCCTCGCAGAGGCTGGCAACCTGGGAAAGGAGCGCCGGGTCCCACTCGTACAACACGAGACCGTCGTGCAGAGATCGAACAGACGGCAGGAGGACGGACGGAGCGAACAGGTTATTAGGGTGGGAGACGCAGAGGTGGGCGACAAAGGCGTAAGCTTTAAGGTTCCTGAGGTGATCTAAGGTTTCAGGAGAAATGGGATTGTCAGATCCTTCAGCACCAGCGGCTTCCGGAGTCTGGGCTCTCGAGGACTGCCTGGACCGCTTCGTGGGAGGGGAACGGGAGGAACGACCAAGGGCAGCGGCCGAGGCGGAGCTGCAAGCGCGGAGGGAGTTCTTGAAGGCATCGAGGGACCGGGAAATGGATAGGTGGAGGGCGGGGGGGAGGGAGGTGACGAGGTCGGCGGAGGCGGGGAGGGAGAAGATGAGGGATCTGAGAGAGGACTTGCCGGTCTTGGTGGCGGCGAGGGAAACCGCGGAGGAGAGGATTTCGTCGGCGGAGGATGAGGTGGTCGAGGAGCGCAACCTCTTCTCCATTGTATGGAATCGAATGGAGGAGAGTCAGAGAGAGAGAGAGAGAGAGAGGGGAGAAGAAGCGGAGCGGGAAACCGACGAATTCAAAATCTTTATCGGAAGGGTTTGGGGATTTCGGCCGGTGGCGACCGCGTTTCATAGAACAAAACAAATAGATAAATAAGAAAATATACCGTATATATATATATATTAAAAATAAAAATACCCTATTAAATTGTCTTAAATGCCCTAAAAAATTACCCCCCCCAAAGAAAAGACGTGCGTTGACGGATCGGATCAAAGGGCGAGCAAGTAATTTTGATCATAATTTGCAACTCATCACTGCAACACGACACAAGGGAAAGATACTAAGTTGACTTAAGTCTTCTGGTGTGTGAGACTTCATGTACAACAAGCTCATCAAAAGGACAGTGATGTTGATGGTGATGTTGCTTATTAACCAGAGTTCAAATTATTTACTGCATTGACTCAGAACCACTCATTACAAGTGTTTGCAGACACAAATATCTCTGAGTTGACTCGGCCATCAATCATCCCACTGTGGACAACAGGAGCGTACATCCACAGCTCATCCGAGCTCAAAAGCTGCACATTCTCAGCACAAAGAGGAGAAGATCTCTAAGTAATCTTTCATCACAGAATTGGACTTGGAAGTCGTTCAGAGTCTCACCTTTATCTGCAGCTGCAAGAACTTTACGTAACGAACACCTTCTTCGAGCATTGTGCTAATGTCAACCTGCAAGCAGAATCAATGTGGTTCTTCATTTTGTCACGGAGAAGGGTTTCAGAAGAAGAAGACAAAGAACATTAAAAGTCGGAAGGCACTCATCTGAAGACTTACTTTAGTTCCATTAGGCACCAGGTTCTGCAATGTCCTCAATCTAGCATTGATTCTTTCCCTTCTTTGCTGCGTTCAACAGGCTTCGAAATTATATTCTGATCCAATTCTGGAGTTCATCGGATGATTGATATATGAATATATTACCCTTGCATAGAGGCTTTGAGGATCTGTGGCTGGCCATCGATTCGATCGTGTTTTCGTATTAAGATCAGCCTGGAAAGCTTGTGAGTCTTCCTCAGAGCTGTGGCTGCAGCAACTCCGGCCACTGCTCTTCCTCGTCACCACACACAATGCTCTTCTGGTTCCTCCCAGGTCGTGCCTTCTTCACGCTCTTCAGAGCCTGCACCTGAATCAGCTAGTTCTTCGGATCAATATGGGCATGATTTGATCCCCAACCATCATAGAGATGCTCATCAAACACTTACATTCGTCGGAGCCTGAAGCTTTTTCTTACAACTTTGACGACGGAAATCATCTTCAGAAGCATGAGACTCTCTCTTGCGCTTTGGCATCTCTGCATGAGCAGCAGTAGGTTCGTGCAAGCTCAAAGTTTGATTCACAGCGACTTGATCTCCCACCAAGCAATGGTTCGTGAAGACCGGCACAGTGCCGATTGCATGTGCTCCATCGGATTCATCTCCACTCTGAGACCAGTAGCACAAACTGGGGTTGCTGTTCTCATTTGCTGACCAACAGCAACATGAATCAGCTGCATGAGAAGAACAATAAGACGATGGCGGGAGTTCACAGCATCCAACATCTCGATCTTGCTCGCCAAAACACTGGTAGTTGCTGAGCAATTGTGCGATCATTCGGGACTCCTCCTCAGCAAGCATTGTAGCATCAAACGAGCTCCAAGTTGACTCCTGAGCCATTGCAACCTGCAGCCTCCACGGCAAAGTCCGAAATCTATTTATGCTGATGCTGAAAGCCTAGAATTGCTTCCAACTCTCTTTCAGCATCACTTGCAAATAATTAATTCATGATACAACTCAGAGAGAGGTGTAAACATGGTGGCTCATCCAAGACCCCGGTTAGGAAGCCACATACCCGGTGGATTGGATCAAGCAATTATTAGCATGACTCGACAAACATTGCAGAGGAAAACAAAATGGTTTTTTCGGCTCGACGAAAGTCCATGATCAGGAAACCAGAGAACGTGGGAGTTCTCGAGGGAATTTAATGAACTCAGCGAAAAATTATTCAGATGGATATAAAGAAAGGATGCAAGGGAGAGGTATGAGCATTGTTTAGTGGTCAGCTCACATTACTTGTTCTCCAAATTGGGATTGTTACCTACCCACTGTTCCATTGCTCACAGCTTCATCATGTTCTCATTGTTCCTAACAGGAAACAGTAAGCATCAGAGCTCTGATATGACAGTGGGGATGTGTGATGCAGAGATTGTTTGTGAGGTTAAATGAGCATTTGCTTGTATGAACTCAGACATAATTAGAGTTAAGTATCATTCAAGACCAGATTGCAAAGATTGTGATTCCTGAAAACAACCTTAGTGAATCATATTCTTTATGACTTATGAGATCCACAGCTCCAAGGCTCTGTTATACCAAAACAATCAACCATGGCATGATGCTTGACACCTGACCTATTCATATGGTATTATGAATAGGAGAAGATTGAGTGCATCAAAGGAAATATAACATCAAATATGGATAAGCATTGCTTGTTCTTCAACAGCTAGAGTTGCAATGTGAAGATATAGAAACCGGAGAAGATTGACTGCATCACAAGAAATATGGCATCAACTTTAGGGCTGTTCTTTAACAACCAGAGAGAGGTAAAAGAGGAAGAAGATGAACCAACTAGGAAAAAAAGAGGATAATTATAATGAAGATTTGTCTAACCTTAGGCATTAAATGCACATGCATATGGTATCATAAACAGGAGAATATTGACTATATCACAAAAAAGAATATGACATCGAGTTTATGTAAGGATTGCTTGTTCTTTAGAACCAAAGGTACAATGTGAACATATGGACAAGGAACTAGGAATAAGAAAGAGAAAGATAAAAATATGTGTGTAACCTATAACTATAATGAAGGGTTTAGAGGATGAAGATGTGTCCACCCTGATGATCAAACTTTTAAGATAGAAAATAATAAGATCGACGTCGATAACATTAACAAATGCACAAAACAAATAGCTTGTGAGACTCACTTTGAGATTATAATGAAGTTTATTTGAGATGCATGCATGCTACAAATCATTGGGACGTCGAATGTAGTTGCAATATGTGGATGGAAGTACAAAAAACACACGAGTTGAGGCTTCAAACTAATATATGGACCAAATTCCAGCTCTCAAATGTCACCTAACTTTTCTTCAATGTGCTTCTCCAGATCGTGCGAGAGAAAACAAATGAAATGAAAGAAGAGCACTGAATCTGAAAGAAAAAGAATCGATGTGTACCTGTAGAAGGAAGCACAGACAATAAAATACCTTCTATTTCCTGAAACTAAAGGTCAGCGAGAGAGAGAGAGAGAGAGAGAACTGAACATATTATAGCATTGAGGGGTGGATTGATAATGTTTTAGTACATCTGCTGGAGAAAGTGATGTCGAAAGATATAGAGCCAAACTCTGCATTCATATGCTGCTGTATGCAGTAAAATAAAATTGCAACTCAACCTTCTTGCTTTAGATTTTTTTTCTTTTAGATTTACACTATTTCAGTACATTTACAGTGATTGATTGAGAATATACTGAGATATTAGGTAATTTAGTGGACCATTCAAGTGGTTTAAATGGAGCAATATATATTAATTCACAAATGAAGCATATACATACATATATATATACATACATAATAATAGTTCACCATGAATAATAACAGTTCTAAGCTTAAAGAGAATGAGTCAAAGATGTATAAGTTGAAATCCAAAATTTTAAAGACTACTTTATGCTTCTGTATTTAATTATACTAAAGCTTTTGCAAAATCAAGCAGTAGCATTGGCCTAATAAACTTCATTGAAATGCATAACAATAAGAAAATGGGCAATATTCTTATTAATTTATAGTTTTACACATTTTGAAATGAATAAAAATATTGCCAATAAACAAAGAACTTCAATATTTTTCCTCTGAATTGCATGCTCTCTTCTATTACTTCATATTCAGATTTATATTCTATCAATTCAAAATTGTAATTGCCATGCAGAAAAGGCATTTCGAATCACTCGAGCATATGGCTAAAATTCTCAAGCTGAACTGTTGTTGTCTTCATGTCAAACGATATTCCAACAGTTTCACCTAATACACACAAACACACACAAATGCATAACACAATCGACGTGGCAAGCAAAGAAACAGAAACAGGACTTGGGGATTCATCACATGGAACTTCAAGTACGAGCCCTGCTGCTGCTTTCTGCATTTCTCACGGGAATGAAGTAAGCATGGGCCTGAAGAGTCAACCAGCAATCTTATTAGCAGCAGTATCTCATAAATATGGCACGAAAAATTTACGAGATGAGCACTTACCATGGCTTCTTTTGCTGTTGGCCTGTCCTGGTGATCATACTGAAGCAGCTTGTCGACAAAGTCAACAGCCTATGAAACAGAGAAGTAAGTAAAACCCGGGGAGATACCCATCGAAATCTAGTTAAAAAAAGAAAACACAAATCACCTCCGGAACTGCCAGATGCTGGTTATCACCATTTATAAATCTTGTCCACGGTTTCCTGCTATGCCTGTGACAATGATGAGTTGACTTAGAAGAAATGTTTTCAAATGCAAAACCAGATTTGTCATTTACAAAATGCATTTCAGAACCTTCCAACGAGTGCTTCGAGTTGTGGATCAAGCTCCAGTCGATATTTGTTGAGATAAGTGTTCAACCCATCTGTACCAAGCACCTAAACAAGAACCCAAACGCCTAGTGTTATACAAGCAGAGCAACAAAATTGACTAAAGGGTGGAAGTCGAACAAACTACTTTATCCAGATCATTTACCCGAAGAAAACATTATGATAGAAGTCATAAAACATCTACTATACAGAAGCACATTGCACTTGAACCTAGTGGAAGGTCATTGATGTCCCAAGTGTCGATCATACGTGTACATGTATTAAGAGTTTTTTTCCTCTTTCTATTTCTTTTGAGTCTAGAGCTGTGTGGCATACACCACTTTTACCCAGTGGATGCTGTGTGAAATCCTGGATCTCACCAGTAGTTTTTTTTTCTTTGTGTAATTTCAGGTTTATGGGATTTTGCAGTTTTGTTGTCGTTATTGTAGTAATTTCAGGTTTACACAAAGTATGGGACAAGCTATAATTTAAAACCAACAAAATGGCATGGAACTCAAAAATCAAAGTGCTGGCATGAGCAATTTTAGTCAGAAATTTATAGGTCAAACATAAATAACACCACCCAGTCTGCAAGAAGTCCATATGTTTCTATAAAAGTGAAATGGACACAAAAGACAACCTTCATCTAACAAGCACTATCAAGAAAGATAAATAAACAAACCTAAAAGATTAAATTGATAGAATATTCTCTGGTCTGCACTTTCCACACGTTAACTTTATCGTTAGTTAACAAAAAATGTAACAAGCACTATCAAGAAATGTAAGAGAACGACCTACAAAAAATCTAATTAACTTTTATCCTTAGTTAAAGGATACTTCATACCTTTGCTATTTTGACCAATTGATCATAGTTATCATGTCCATAAAAAAAAGGCTCCTTTCGGAATATCTGTCGATCAAAAGAACATGTGATTTCAGGAAATAAAACATGCCAGTGGAATATGTATATATGTACACACACACACACATCACATACCATCCCAGCAAACATACAACCAAGGCTCCACATATCTAGCGAATAATCATAATCTTGCAAGTCAACTAGGAGCTCTGGGCCTTTAAAGTACCTGCAGAAGATATCAACATTATTCCACAGAAACCAAAGAGGTCTTTTGAACATCACTAAGTGGTAGTGGCAAGATATAACCAACAAATAACAGAACTAAACACCAACATGTGATTTCTTGTCTTCATCCAAGAGAAGATATGGTTCAGGGAATAAGCAAATAAGCAGATTGCATTTTCGCTCATCATTTTATTACTCAATGGCCAATGCAACCCACTTGAAGTACAGGAAGATTACAAATTGAGCAACAAAGACAAACAGTTGAAAGTAAATATGTAAGCACAAACTTATATTGCACCTGTCATCAATCATAAAAGCTGTAACAGTTGAAGCCATAATCTATTTTGATAACGTTCATATTCTGTCCCCCAAATTTCTGACATACTTGAGAAACTTGGTTCGACTAAGAGAAAAGAATTAGGTTCGTATACCACAAGGAAAGTCAGAAGCACTCGTCAAATTTGGACAGACAGGTAAAATTTACTTTTATATATATATATATATATATATATATATATAAGCTAGTGATAACTTTCTTCCTAACTTTCAACCATGAGGAAGTGATCAAATCTGACAAATAAGTGCTTCTTGTCCTAAAAATGACCAATTGTTAAGAAAACCTGTGTTAGATGGTCAAATAAATCTAAAAGCTTTCTATGGCTGACAAAGTACCTTATATTTCATATAAAAGCAACTTCATTTGTGTTACTACATATCAGAAATTTCAGATTTACCCATCAAAGATAATGTGATATCCCTCTAAAATTCAGAAGTGATTGTGGAGAATCTAATACCCAATAATGTTATGATATATAGCCCTGAAAAGGATATTTATCTTACTATCTAAATTTTAAAAGGATATCATAAATCAAATGTTGCCTTCCAAAAAGTAAAATGTTCACACATTGAAATAACTTTTCAAGAGAACAAGAAAGAAGATGATGCATCAACATATCTAAAGAATGCTTGAAATTCTGGACATTGTACCTCGAGGCAACTCTAACATTGTATTCTTTTCCTGGATGATAAAACTCAGCCAGACCCCAGTCAATAAGTCGAAGCTTGCGATGTTGATGATCTATCATAACATTGTGCGGTTTCACATCTCGATGCATGATGCCTTGAGAGTGGCAATAATCTAGTGCCTACACAAGAACCTGGAGAAGTTAAAAGCCAATCAAACTTGATGAAATCTAGCTACACAACCAAGACATATGAAATCCAAATACATCTATACGAGCACATACAAGATGTGCACACGCAAACACATATAGTTCAACAATCATTGAATCAAATACTGGTCAGACCAGATAGGTACCACTAGGTATATGCAGGATTGACCAGGAATTTCAGTAGTACGTGTGTTGGTACATAATATTCATTTTCTTATTATTTTTCTAATGTTATTAGATGGTTTAGGTTGCCAAGATGAGAATGTTGAGATGGATGTGTTGAGACTTATACGAAAAGTTTATGTAGCTGAGATGAAAATGTTGAGATGGATGTGTGGTGTTACTAGGAAGGATAAGAAAAGAAGTATTTTTATTCGTGAACAAGTAGGTATCACTTCGATAGAGAATAAGATAGGAGAAATCGTTTAAAATGATACGGGCATGTGCTTAGTAGACTTTCGGATGCGATAGTCAAAAGATATATTTAGTTAAGTACTCTGAACTTAACTAAATATATGACTTTTTACAGATCTCGATGGTGACAAAAAATCCATGTAGTCGACCTTAAATAGTTGGGACTTACTATTTTGTTGTTGTTATTGAATGGTTTAGGTCAATATACCATGGTACCATTTCAATCTAATGTCAAAATTCACATTAAAACCTTAAAACCAACATATAAATAGGCATTTTAGGCAAAGCATTAGAAAATATGCATAAAAAATGTCAATCTTAGAAATATCTTCAACTATAGACCAATAAAAACATTCAGCAAGTCTTTGAACTGGATATATAACAAAATGTAGGGTTTCACTGCAATTTTATTATAATAATCTTCTTAACTATGGAATTCTTGTCATGAATACACCAAGAAAGATGTCAGGTATTGTCAATCATGCACCAAATGCAAGATGGGAGTTTTGTCAATCATGCATCAAATGCAGATGTAGTTTTCGACATCAAGTGGTGATGATTAAATGGGTCTCAATGTTCTTCATCGTATCACTTTAGAATTAAAGGATTCAAAACATAGGAGTTTGTATCACCACATGCAACCACTGATTCAACGAAGTGGCTTAGGCAGCCAGACATGCAGCCACATTTGCTGATGAGCCACAAGACCACGATGCACAATCCATATCTAGTAGCGACATATACTTCAACTGCGTGTATTTGATGCATGCAGCCACACAAGCAACAGATGCAATGCATATACAGACAAATGCAAACTCAAAACCCAAGTTTGAACTTGAAACCCATATAAGCCCGACATCCTCAATTAGTCATTCAATCTTAAAGATATAGGTCCATGATTTTCTTTTTCAAGCCCTTGATTTTCTTCCTACAAATAGAATATGACTATATGAGATGATAGTGCTACACAATCTGTAAAAACATCCCAGATTCAAATCTATATTTTGATGTGTCATTTTACTCTTTGTTTCCTTTACCTCTATTTTTTCATTTTTGCCTTTGGTACCAATAACAAGTGTACAGTAGTGAGAAAACCTAAAGCCCCATGCATGGTTAGCCTTAGAGAATTTTTTTTTTATTTGGCACCTCTATCTTGATCTATCACTGGACATACTTTCATCCTGTTTATGTGGGTCCAAAAATCACCCTCAATGATCATGAGAGATATAGTCAAGCAATCTAATGTGATAATTTTGTACCTGAGAGTTTATTTTGGTATTCAATGCCTAAAATATCAATGTTTTTCTTTGCCAACTTGGACTAATTATTTAATACAGCTCCTACCACCCATCATATTCTATCAACTATAATTAATTAGACTACCTAAAATATATCTCGTCATATGCACTATGTACTATGTAGCAGGGTCTGCCGTACCGAGCCGTACCGCCCGGTACGGGCGGTACATACCGGTCCGACAGGTTGTCGGTACATGGACCGACTGTTACCGGTCCGACACCTACAGTGCTACAGTACTCGGTACACCTGAGTGTACCGCTCGTTATACCGTACCGTACCGATACCGAGCCCAGGTCGAAATACCGGTACGGTACGGTATTGCGAACCTTGCTATGTAGTAACCTAAAACCCTGCAGACTACTTCCATATTTTAAAACCTTCTTTAAAAAAATTACAAGCTGTGAGATTGAGGAAGGCTGAGAGGATTCTGACAACAGGCTAAGACAATGATCTTTAGAGAGAAAAACATCATTTTTCTAAAGATTCTTCCATCTATCAAATGATGGGTAAAGGTTCCATCAACATAGGTTTAGGATTGGTCGTGCAAATGCACGCACACGCTCGCCCGCACATGTCTGCCCCGCCTCTTAACGTATTCATCCTAGAAAAAATATAAAATAATAATAAATCCAAACTATATTTTAATAGTTCCATTAATGAAACAGTTTCAGATCAAGAAGTCTCAATTTGACAAACCGCATCTTAGTACATGCAAGAGAGAAACTAGATTCAAGAATTAAAAAAACGATGAAGATGGAAGTAATGCACATAAAGCCAAAAAGCAACTAATGTTCCTTTAACTGGGTTAAGAATGCATTATCATGTGATGACCATCATTTTAAAAGCTTATATGCTACATTAAATACGGATGGATCTTTTCCCAATAGTGATTGTGGGGGGATTGGTTTTGATAAGGAATGGCGTTGGGATTTGCTTATGTGCATGCGGGGATTGCATTTATAGCAAGGATATACACCTGTTTGAATTGATGGCCATCAAGATGGGGCTCCAACAAGCGCTGCAACGCAACATCTCAAGTATCCATATTGAGTCCGATGATGTAACCACGGTTGACATCCTCTTGAGGAAGAGCGATCCTCCACGGTTGCTCATTAATATCACTAGATGTATCTTTGATTTACTCACATCTTTTTATAACTTTAGGATTTCTCACATTTTTCGTGAGGGAAATCAATGTGCTGATTGGTTGGCAAAATATGCTTTTTAAACCAAAACTGTTGTTTTGTGGACGGATCACTGGCCTGATCCTCTGCCCTCTTTTTTGAGTGCCAATCTTATTAGTACCGGTTGTATTAGGCTTATCACTTAATAAAAGCCTACTTTTTTTGAATAAAAAATATATCAAACAAATTGGTATCCATATTGATTTAGATTTCTAAGAAACAAATTTAAGCAAACCATGTAACTCAGCATTTTATAAGCATACTAAAATAATTAAAATAAAGAAGTTAATGCAAAAAAATTTCAGTTCTTAATACAAAAAAAAATCTTCTGAAAAAAAAATGTACCATAGTGATAAATAACTGATCAAAAAATAGAAAACTTAACATTTAGAGAGCAATAGAAGTTAGAAATCAAGGTTATCACTCAAAATGGAAAATTATACGATTCCAACACTATGACAGCTTGATCTGAATTCTTAAAGCGAGTAAGATATGTAAGCAGGTTAAAATGATAACAGCATAGCTAAAGCACCATGGTCATCATAGCCATCAGAAATATTATCTAGCAAGTCTATTTAATTCAATGAAAATGTATGGATGGCCTTGCCTTTAATAGTTCGTAAATGTAGTATCGAATGTCGTAGTCCGATAAAGTTGGATAAAGAACTTTAAAGTCAGTATTGTTAACATATTCAAAAATCAGACTAGGAGTCTTTGATTGCTGATCTCTGACAATATCAAGTAATTTGATAATGTTGGGTCCACCACAAAGGTTTTGCAGTATCTTTATTTCTCTCTTAATCTGCATTGCAAGAAAAAAACAAATAATAAATATGATATAGAAAGTAGTTTCCCTTTAAATGGAGACCAACAGCATGAGATCAAGAAAACCTTATATTTAAATCAAGAAGAGAAGCCATCACCAAGTTCTAGTGAAATTAGAGCATCAATAAAAGACATGGCATAGGCATGAAACATACATATGATCAACA